TGGATATGGATGGACGAATTTAGGGAACTTCGGCCCCTTTTTCATGGCCGAATCAATCATCCGTTGGACCTCGATCATATCGACGGACGTTACTTCCACTCTCTGGTCGGGTTCATCTGTCCTACTACTCGATCCTTCTTTTTTTTCTAAGTCAATTGGCTTGAGCCGAGTAGGGATTGGCTCGGCCTGTACTATTGGTAACAGATTATTCCTTGGTGGCAATTGCCAGGAAAGATCGAATGACCTGTCGTCGCAGACCTTGCTAACCAGTATTTCAAGCAATCTGTTTTGTACCTTACTAGTACGTATCACGTCATGCAGTTTATCGATTCCTCGACTAAACGTCTGTTCAACCGTCCGAGACTGTTCGTCAAGTCATCTTCGAAGAAACGATCTTGTTGGTGGATTAGAGCCTTCACCACCATCCCCATCACAGTCCTCCACTATCCCTTCATTAAGAACGCAGGTGTTTTTGTTAGGGATTTCTAGACCGCACAGCTGACCGCCGAGACTAACTTCCTTTTCTCGGCGAGTCGCACTTGTGGACTCAGGTGTCACGGCACTAAAGAGATTATGTGCCTGTGATACACTTTGTCCTATGTTCTGAATTGGCAAACCGGTTGTTGATTTTCCCATAGTTGTTTTCTTTTTAACCGATCGTGTTTCAATTGGCATGAACTTCGTAGTTTTAGCACTGGGTCCCACTAAGCGTGCCAAAATGTTGACCCTAAAAACTACCAAACCTACGTGGAGCGCAGGCCGAGTAATCTATGAGCTAACTACGTCTTTTGGTTGAATGCAGGGCGGGCCAACTCATCGGCCGAGCTCGACCGAGGAGTAAAATATGTTGATGTTGTGATGAGTGCGCAACCGACTTCTGCATCTTGCGATTGCGACCGAGGAAGGAACATGTCTCGACCTCTTGGGTTCTCGAACCTGAAGACAAGGCTACTATTCTTACGAAGCTTACAAATCGTCATTGTCGGATTCTGTCACAGTGATGGTATTCGTCAGAGTAAACTCACGTTGAATCAACACTAAAGTGTAAGGGCACAAATACTCAAAGTAGATATATGTCTTAACAATAAACGTGGTTCGGCCGTCGGAATGCCGTACTCTAAATCCCACTTGAGAGTATCGAATCATAAACAAACTCGGCGTGCAATGTGCCGTGCCTAATAAACTGTAATACCTCACTTCGCCGAGAAGGCTAATGAGATGACCTTGACCAATAAAGATTCGGAAATCCTTTTCGACCGAGACTTGGATAGATAACCAGTCACCCTCGACACAATGTTATCTATGCCGACTGAAGATGCTGCGAGACCGGCTAGTTCTACGATGACAGTGTTATCTATGCCAACTGAAGATATCACCGGTTGCCTTCACAGTGCTGTTTATCCAAACTGAAGGTGTGTCGGTAAAAAAAGAAAAGGAAAAAGTCTCAAGGTTGTTGAGAGAATTTACGCATGGCAGTTGTGTGTTGAATTGAAGGGGCCATGCACAGCCTCCTTTATTTATAGCATCAGGTCTTCTCTAGATCGAGTTATATCCCTACTCGGATTAGGACTCCTTATTCTAACCAAACACTATCTCGACTAATCCTATTTTCACTATGACTATGAACCCGGTCCTTTATCAAGCCGCATTCACTTCCAGGTTATCAATGTCTATATCTTGCCGAGACACCTTATTGTGCCAGGATTCAATTACTCGTCTTGCAGCACGACTCGGCCGACCTAGGTTAGGAAGCCTATGAACTAAACGATCCATGATAACTTTTCGTAAGACCTTCCGGGCCGAGAATAGAACTCGGCCCAAACCAACATTTTGCGTCCAAACAGGATTATAATATTTAATAGGTAATCTAATCCTAATAGGAATATAAGATACTTTCCCAGATTCCCTAGGATTTACACAAACACATTCCTATTCTAAATATGACTGCAACACATTTGCATTTTTTAATTCTTCTTTTTTTCTTCCTAATTTTAATGTACTAATTTTATTTCATTATAATTTTCATTTTCATTTCATTTATTGTAATATAGTTTGTTGTAAACATTTAGTAAACTAATTTTTGTTATACAATATATTTCGATGTACTTTGTCTTTTTCATTTAGGTACATTAAATTCATTATAATACATTTCGGTGCATACATTTAGGTAAACACATTACGGTACATACATTTCAGTACTAACATTTCAGTGCATACATTTGGTACACACATTTACATACATTAATTTAATATAATACATTTCGGTGCATATATTTCAGTACATACATTTCGGTACTAACATTTAAATACGTTAGTTCAATATAATACATTTCGGTACATACATTTAGGTACATTATTGAGTCTTTCAAGTTTGAAGAATGTTAAATAAAATTAATAAATTAAAAAAAATCCTTCATTTGGTCAAAAAATAAATTAAAATTTGTATATTAATAAATTTAAATATTTAATGGGAGACATTAAATAAAATTCACATTAATTATTTTGGATCAAGGACACATCAAGGGACTATAATCAATATACAATCTAGTACCAGGTTTATTTTCTATAGGCAATATTCTTCCATGTACTAGGTTTGTTTCTCCTTTTCAACCTACTATGTCTCGGGTTCAAATACTTCCTTCTTCTCTAGTGTAAACTGACGTAGTAATATCATTTGCATTGTAAATATTTTTATTATTTTAAATTGAAGTTACGTGGAAGGTGTTTAGTAGGGAGTTTTACCTATAGAGAAAAAAACTTAAAATACATTTCATAGAACTCCACTAGTTTTGAAACATGTCAAGGAGAAAAAAAAAACACAAACCCCAACAAGCCTAGCCAAAAAATAAGCAAACCAAAACGTCAAAATTTCAGCCATGCCCCTAGTAGACTTGTTACTTAACCAAGCCAAAACTACAAACCAATTCTATCTATAAAAACTTCAAACTAATTTTAAATCCATAAAAATTAATTTCTACACTTCTGCAAAATTAGTTTCACAATTCATGCACTTCTCCTATATCAGTTTCAAAATTTTTTGCACTTCTGATTAGTTTCAAAATTCCAACACTTCAGCAAAATCAGTTTCAAAATAGTAGTACTTCTATATCAGTTTCAAAATTCCAACACTTCTATAAGTACATTTCAAAAAATTTGGCTCTTTTGCAAGATCAATTTCAAAATTCCATCACTTCTGCAAGATCAGTTTCAAAATTCTTCTTGCACTTCTAGAAGATCAATTTCAAATACATGCATCAAAATTAACTTTCAAAAAATGCTATGATAAAAAACCAAAATCCTAAAATCTCAATCGTTATTAGAAAAGAAAAAAAAATACTTAAAAAATTAGGGAACAATATAAAGAAGAAGAAAAAGAGGAGGACGGAGAGAGAAGTATGGAGAAGAAATATGAGGGAGCATGACGAAGAAGGAGGAGCAGAGCGAGAAAGGTAGGAAGGAGGAGAGAGAAAAAAAGACAAAGAAGAAGGATGAGAAACAGCGAGAGAGAAGGCCGATGAAGAAGGAGGAGGAGAGACAGAGAGAGACACGGGTAGGATGGAGAATGAATATAAAGAAAATGATGAAGAAGAAAGATGAAATAGAAGGAAACAGTATGAATAAGGAGATAAAGACTCATCTTTCAATTACATGAAATAAATTGTAAATGTAAATGCAATTACAAAAATAAACATGACATCATCTGCCACATGAAAAAGTTATGTCCCTCTCTGAAATAAGTAAAAAAACTTAGTCTTTCCCCAAAATATAGTCTTATGATTTGAATGTGTGGATAATTGTTCTTTTTTGGTAAGGATCGTCTTCAATAGGTTTTTTTTTTTATTTTTTTTTATTGGTCAACAGATGCCTTCATTAGACTGAGGGTTATAGAACCAAACTATTTTACTTCCAGTTTAATCTGTTTCTAGCAAAGACGATTGCCCAGAAAGAACCAAATTTTTCCTAGACATATTTTTTAGTCCTTGCATAGATGGACAATTCAAGCATTTGTTAGTTACAACTTACGTGTGGGTTGTCCTATTTTTCGGTTGTCCCCAAAATATCCAAAAAGTTATATTTAATTGCCTAGCGAGTCATGACGACTTTATAAAAATCTTACGAGACAAGGGGTTATTCTTGTCATGTCCCTCTATGTAAGGCTCCATTTCTAGATTTTTTTTAAAAGACTTATTTACATTAGCACCCCTGAGATTATTCGTGGTTTTACAAAATTCCTTGCGCTTTCAAAATTTCAATACCACCCACTTGAGTTTTCAAATTGTTTTCACAAAACCCCTTTTGCTAAAATTTGGTCTAAAAATTATCTAATGACAAAGTTAACTGTAAGTTGATTACATGTTTTCACACAACCCCTGAGGTTTTGAACCATAGGCCATCTCTAACCGAGGGCTGGCCAAGGGGCTCGTTTTACCCCTCTGGCCCTCTAATATATTAATATTTTAATGAACAATACAGGGTCAGATTTGCCTCCATCTCCAACCGATGGTCAAAGGGCCATAGGGCTCGTTTTAACCCTGTCACAAAAAACCGTCTCCAACCGAAGGCCAAACATAATTTATTATTTAAAAACTACAACTTAAATTCAAATCCAATGGTTAAGTGATGTCAGCTAGCCGTTGGATTTTTTTTTTTTTTTTTTTTTTTTGCTATAAATAGGGTAGATATTGGGCTATAATTTACATAACTTTGAATTCGATCTATTTCAATTTAATCTCTTTTAATTCAATCTCTTTCAATTCAAGTTTGCAATGAATTCCAACTTTGGATCCTCTTCGGATTCCAATTGGGGGTCCTCATCCAATTCCAAATTGGAAGAAAAATGAGCGCAAATGAGACGAGAAGAAGAGGAGTCTGATGAATAAGTTCAAGTAAGGCGCAACAAACAAAACAGAGCAGCAGTCATGGTGTGTTAGCCAACTGAGGAACAACATCAATGGGGTGGCTCTGTTACTGTTCGCTCTTACAAACCACGAAACATAGCGATGACGCATGCCAATCTGATGAACAACTATTTCAACCCCAACTCAGTGTACACAAAAGAGAATTTCAAACGTCACTTCCGGATGAGGCGTTATGTCTTCCAGCGTTTACTTCGTGATGTCCAGCAAGTCAATCCATACTTTCAACAAAAGCAGGATAAAGCAGGCCGTCCTGGTTTCTCACCTCATCAAAAGGTTATTGTTGCACTGGGAATGATGGCCAATGGCTCCCTAACTTATTCGATGGATGAAACCCATGGTATGTCTGAGTCTACATGCCTTGATACTCTTGAACAATTATGTGACACAATTGTTCATGTTTACAAAGATGAGTACCTTTGCGAGTCAAATCAGGAAGATCTAAATCGACTCCTTCACAAACTGGAGACCGTGGGTTTCCAAGCATGATAGGGTCATTAGACTGCATGCATTGGGATTGGAAGAACTGTCCCACCGGATGGCAATGAGGCTTTAGCAGAAGGTCGAGAAAGCCAATTGTTGTGTTAGAGGCAGTTGCCTCATATAACACATGGATCTGGCATGCTTTCTTTGGAGTCCCTAGAACCCAAAATGACATTACAGTTCTTGGGCGTTCCCCCCTCTTCAATCGCCTGACGGAAGGTAAAGCACCTTAACTTGACTACTACATCAACGACTGTCAATACAATATGGGGTATTACTTAGCAGATGGCATCTACCCAAAGTGGGCGACACTTGTCTAAGCAATTGCAAACCCTAGGAATGACGCGAAAAAGTTGTTTACCTTACACCAAGAGGCATACCGGAAAGATGTTGAGAGAGCTTTCGGTATTCTTCAAGCACGGTGGAAGATCATCAACGAACCAGCAAGAGGGTGGAGTCGAGAAAATTTGGACTCCATCATGATGTCTTACATCATATTACACAATATGATAGTGGAGGATGAGCGAGATAGGTATATTGATGGAGAGTCGGATGACGACCAAGAAGATCCAAATATGTCAAGAATGGCTTGTGCAAAAATATATAATGGGCCTAATTTGTCTTTCAATCCAAGAACTGGTAGTATCTCTATAAATGAGTACATGAGGCGCTATAGAATGATATGTTCTCGTGCCACAAACAAGTATCTACAACAGGATCTTGTTGCACATCTTTGGGTCAAAAGAAGCATGAAGTAGGCGTTTAAGTTTTATGTTGTTAAATGTTTTTAAAAATGTTGTTTAAGTTTCATGTTGTTAAATGTTTTTTTTATGTTGGTTAATATTATTTAATGTTGTTTCATGTTATTTAATTTAATTTAATGTTGTATAATGGCTTAGGAAGTTATAGGAAAAATATAGAATTTTAAAAAAATATATGAAACAAATTTTGTCAAATAGAAGTTATAGAAAAAAAATAGAATTAAAAAAAATATGAAACAAATTTTGTCAAATAGAAGTTATAGAAAAAAAATAGAATTAAAAAAAATATGAAACAAATTTTGTAAAATAGAAGTTATTAGAAAAAAAATAGAATTAAAAAAAATATGAAACAAATTTTGTAAAATAGAAGTTATTAGAAGAAAAAATATAATTTAAAAAAAATATATGAAACAAATTTTGTAAAATAGAAGTTACGGGAAGTTATAGAAAAAAATAGAAGTTATAGGAAAAATTTTGTAAATAAAAAAAATTAAAACTGTAAAAAAAAATTCAAAAATAATTGCTAGCTAACGTTAGCTAGCCGTTATATTCAAAAAATTTCGCTATTTGTGTTGGTTATAACCGACACTATTTCTTTTATTTATGTCGGTTATAACCGACAACAAAACCAACATAAATAAATAAAATTTCAGCCAGCCCTTTGGCCCTTTCAGATTCCTTGGGGCCCACGAGCCCTCTGGCCTAACTCTCGATTGAAGATGATTTTCGGACTATTTTCGGCCCTCTGAACTCTTCGGTTGGAGATGGCCTTAGGGTCCCATAAAGGTTTAACATGCTTTCATATAACGCCTTAACTTAAAAATAAAGTGACAAATTGTATAATGACAAAAAGTAATCTAGCGAAGGTTAAACCCTTTTTTTTTCTTTTTTTTACATTTATATGTTGGTTTACTCCTTGAATTATATTATTCGAGTGAAAATTAGATTATGTCCCTAAACTATTTTTTTTTTCCAAAAAAGTAATCCTTTAAATAATTAAAATATGTCAATTACATTCCTAATATTAAATTTGAAGACATTCTATTCAATTTTTCGTCGATTTAAGTCACGTGACTTACATGTGATACACTTTCGAAGTAGATTGGTAGGTTTCTATGAGTTTAAGAACTCCTTTTTTTGGAAAAAAAGTGAGCGGAGTTAGCTTTGGAGGTAATTAGAAACTAGATTCGCAACCAATATACAACATCAAGGACTTATAGGCGAGTAAATGATAGTATTACCCTCCAAAATGTATCACGTGCAAGTCACGTAACTTAATTTAATGAAAAACTGAATAGAATAAGTTTGAATGTCATAGTTTGGATAAAATTAGCAATTTTTAATGAATATAAGAACTTATTTTACCCAAAAAAAAAAAAAAACCAATAGTGTAAAGACCTAATTTTCACTCATATGACAATTTCAGAGACTAAATTAGCAATAATAAACGACATCTTAAGAATTTTTTTAATTCACAACATTCTATATTTTTTTCCTTCTTACGAATGAGTTATTTGAAATCTTTGCAAATCCTCGGGAGGTTATGTGAAAATATTAAGACCTGGGACAGTGAATGTTTACGTTAAAATTTGTTTCTGTAGAAAATCTACCAAGGCATTGGCAATTTCTGAAAGAAAAATTCAAGGACTGTTGGTGTAAAAAACTCTTTTCTAAAACCGATTCAACCAGACGTTCCTAAACGAAATTAACAAGAAATCGTAGGCGAAACCAGACCGCACCTATGAGATATACAGAGCAGTTTTACAATCACTTCTGGCGAAAGACGTAACCTTTGACCGGATTCATTTTATAAACACATAATCCCATGAAATCACTTTGCACTATGCAGGCGCAACGACATCCGGTTGAATGGGTGGCGACCGACCATCCTTCGCATTGGTCTCTTTAGCCTCCTTATCTTCTTCTTGAAACCCTTCCTTGAATCTGTCATAGTTTGTGGGCTCATTCGACTTGAATGGGCGTTCTCCCAGTACTCGAATCAAATCCTCTTGGTGAAGGACTTCCTTTTCCAGCAACAGCTCTGCAATCTGTCCTACATGCTCTTTGTGCTCCTCTATCAACTGGACGGTGCGGAAGTATGCTTTACCCACCCATTCTCTAACTTCACTGTCAATTATTGCACCGGTTTTGCTACTGTATGGCTTGGTCATCTCAAATGAATCCTCCCTCTGAGGAAACGAAAGAAGACCTACCTTGTCGCTGAAGCCATACACTGCAACTTGAGCATAAGTCATTTTGGTCACTTTCTCCAAGTCGTTCTGTGCTCCAGTTGAAATCTTCCCCAACAAAACCTACTCCAAGAATACCAACGCAGTTAACGACAGTTGAAAAAAGTCTCATAAGCTACAAAGATGCCTTTTGTTATAAAATTAAAATGTGGTGCCATCGTGCCAACATAGCAATACCCCGTCTTCAGCTTTCTACATACAGGAGCATGATCATGCAAACCAGCCACAATTTTTGTTTCTCTAGAAAACTAAGATCTACTTCACAGAAATTAGGAACTTTATTTTTCTTTTCAATCTAATGATGAGTCTCCAACAAATATTATGCCAAAACTGAAATTCGAAATGTTAACCCATAGGTATTGACGAATGGAAGTACTACTAAAAATTGCATGCACAAATTACTTCGACACATCCGGCGCACACGCACACACATGTACAAGCTAATGGAAGTTGGTAACAATTCAAAAATGTGAACACCGTTACCCCCTTTGTTTTTGGGAGCTACAAAAGCCCCCTCGACATGTTTTCTTTTCACCTTTTGAGTCTGAAGCATTGCGCTTGATCAATTTAAAACAATTAAGTTATTGTGAAATAAACAACACTATCTGCAGTCACAAACTATATGAACAATGCAACACAACATAAATATTACTAACTATCTAAAGATTTAAAGGACAAAAGGCATCATGTACTTTCGGCATTTATTAGAAGTTTTGTTTGTTGCCAAGATGACATTCTTAAAATTTTAAACAATGTTATATTTCAGTTAAATTCGTCATACTTCAATGAGTGATAGACCACACTAAGTTCCCTTGTAACGTTGAAGAGTTGAGGCTAAATACTAAATTCAGTCTCAATGAGTTAGGAGGGGGTGGAAGCATACAAGTACCACTCTTTAACAAATCAAGATTTTCCTTCTTAATCATACGATTCTATCCCTACTTGCTTATTTAGTAATTTTGGGAAAGAAAGAGAGCTTCACCTGCTCAGCAGCTCGGCCACCAAGGGTCATGCATGTCATATCAAAAAGCTGCTCTTTGGTCATAAGAAGATTTTCATTCGGAACATACTGAGCAAACCCCAGTGCTGCAGTGCCACGTGGAACAATAGTTACTTTAAGCAAAGGTTCTGCATGTTCCAGGAACCAACCCGCAACAGCATGACCAGATTCATGGTAAGCAACAGTGCGTCTTTCCAACTTGCTAATAACCTGCATAAAGAGACCACTAAACAGTTAAATATCTTGGTAAAAAACACATTTAGCAAGTCTCTCATGATCAAACAGTTGTTTACACCACTATTTCAGGTTGCACAGGTACAAACTTAGATTAATGATGCCAAATAAATTATCTCACTTTTGCAGGTTCATCAAAAAATCTTCTAATTCTCAGCTATTAATTGTTGAATCATAAAGGAGTCGTCAACTGCACAGATTACCATGCAGTGGCAACAGATACCTTGTTCTTCTTTTCTAGGCCGCCTATCACCCTGTCTATAGCCGCTTCAAAATGTTTCATGGTTATCTTTGGACTCTCATTTCTTGCAGCAATCAAGGCAGCTTCATTGCAGACGTTTGCTATGTCTGCTCCAGCAAATCCAGGAGTGAGAGCAGCAAGCCTCTCGGAGTAAAATGATGCTTCCAGATCCAGCTTGAGCTTGCTCAGATATATTTGAAAAATCTGGTTACGACCTTTGATGTCTGGTTTATCAATAGTAATTTGACGGTCAAACCGGCCTGGCCTCAAGAGAGCTTTATCCAGAATATCAGGCCTATTAGTGCCAGCAAGTACAACAACTCCAGCAGTGGTTCCAAATCCATCCATTTCTACAAGCAATTGATTGAGAGTACTTTCACGCTCGTCATGGCCACCTGAAAAGCCTCCACGCCCTCTTGCCCGGCCAATTGCATCAATCTCATCAATAAATATTATACTGGGTGCGCACTGTCTTGCCTCTTGAAATAAGCTTCGAACCCTTGACGGACCAACACCAACAAACATTTCCATAAAATCTGAACCAGATATAGATAGAAAAGGCACCCCAGATTCACCAGCAGTTGCCTTTGCAAGAAGCGTCTTTCCTGTTCCAGGAGGGCCAACAAGAAGAGCACCTTTTGGAATTTTTGCTCCCAATTCCTCATATTTCTTAGGATTTTTTAGAAAGTGCACAAACTCCATTATTTCTTGCTTAGCCTCATCACAGCCCGCTACATCTTTAAAGTAAACCTGATTCAAAAAATGGACACTAATGAATTGTTATGTAAATAACTGCATCTATGTTTCACTTTATTACTAAGATAAGAAACATGATGAAGGCAACACTAGGAAATGAAATGCATATTTAACCTTGTTTTTGGCATTCTTGTCCAACTTCGTGATCTGTGCTTTACCTATGTTGAATATGCCTCGGCCACCTGTTCCACCTGGACCACCAATGTTAGGCATTTTTCGGCTCATGAACCAAAGGGCTCCCAGAAGCAACACTGTTGGCCCATACCTTAACAACTCTTGCAACCACATTACTTGGGATGCATAAATTACAGGAACAAAATCATGACGATCAATCCCTAAAGCTTCTTGAGCTTCCTCCAACTTTTCTTCGAAAGATTCAACACTCCCAATGTTAAAATAATATTTATACTGGGTTACATTTCCTTCGGAAGGAGAACCTTTAACAGGACTACTAACAGAATCATCACTATGAACTTTTTCGCGTGGGGAGCTCCTCACATACACTTTTGCAACTGATTTGTTTGCAACTTCAATGTGATCGACCAACCCAGGTTCAAGTAGCTTGTTTTTAAATTCTTGGAAACTTATCTGGGAAACAAGTCAGCTTAAGCAGAAACTACTAATGAAAGCAAACTGGGAAAAAATAAGCCGAACAACATTGATGTAGAACAATTAACTAGAGCTTAGACACATATAGGTATAGAGGAGAAGACACAGAGGCCTCAGGGAGGAAGATCTGTTTATTCCATCATTCAAGGCTCCCTCTACCGAAATATAAAGCCTCTATTATAAAGACCTTTTTGCTAGAAACACCGAAAGTAAAACCTATTCAACATGAAAGTAGTTTTTTGGTCGAAAACAGGACAGTAATCTCAATCCTACTCAAAAGCAATCTAAATAAACTAGTTTCTCTAAGCATAGTGATTACCTCCTTCGCTTGATGAGGATTAAGGAATAATGATGTGACAATAAAGCAAATGAACATTAAAGGAGCAAGTAAATCTTGAATCTGCTTCGAAAACTGTCCCTGGGCATTCCCCTGACCACCTGCACTTGAGCCCTCTGAAGAAAACTGATACTAATAAGCTTACTTAAACAATGTTGCACTTACCCAAAACACATCAATGTCTAAAAAACCAAAACAATCAAAAAGTGGCACACCTTTGGACTCCGTTTTCTGTTCACCCCCTTTCGGAATTTCCTTCTTATTTTTCGGATAATAATTTTCGTAATCTATAAGAACAAACCGTTGCAAAAATCAAACATAAACACATTAAAGCTAAGCATCAAAAATTATCAAACCAAACAAAATTTCATAACTTTTGGGTAGAAAGCCCTTACTTTTCTTCTCGGGACCTTGGCTGGAGAACAAGCGACGAATTCTAGGGATTCCGAAAACAGACTTCACATTCGACATGTATGCTTTTGAAATTAGCCGCTTCCCAGCTCCATTATAAGCTATATATCCCTTCAGAATCCCTACGCCGCCATCAACGCACTCATTGCCGAGCAGCGTCGACAACTGCGGAAAGGAATCGTGCAGCAGCGTGTTCCTCCTGTTGTAAGTACCCGAAATCACATTCTGCGCAGAAAAATATCAAATTTATCAACCAACTAAAAAAAAAAAGATAACTTGAGATAAAAATTTCAAAAATTAGAATTTTTCGTGCTACAATTCGTACTCTTTTGAATTTGGAACGAGCCGAGTGGGTGATCCAGCGTCCGATGCTTGAGAAAATCATTGTATCGAGCCGTGGGAATCGTTTGAGGTGGAGAATGGTACTTTCGAAACCCTAGAAAGAGCTATACGGGTCTGTTTGGTTGCTGAGAAAATTTCAGGTGGGAAAGTTTCTAGGGTTTGGAAATGGAGAGTGAGAGAGAGAGGGAGAGAGAGAGAGAAGTTACCGGAATTCGGTGTGAGAAAGAGCAGGGGCGGAGAAAGGGTATGGATTCCTGCCCAGAATCAGAAACCGACTTCTTACTATTGAATTACGTATTTGACCTTGTCTAAGGAACGACGGGATGTGGGTGGCGTAAGGTTAATTTGGTCATTCTGTAGTGTTTCTTCAAGGTTTTAGAGCCTGAAAATTAGTAGCAATATGTATGGTTAAATTGGAACATTACTTTTTTTTTTTTTTTTTTTTTTGTCAAATGATAAATTTTGTTACATTAGATATTAGATTAGTCAAAGATCGGGTTCGCACTCACATCGTCATGTAAAGACTCAACTCATTTCCACCATGTGCAGTGTTTCTTCAAGGTTTTAGAGCAATATGTATGATTAAATTGGAACATTTCATTTCCTGTTGAAAAGGATTTTTTTTTTCTTTTTGTTTTTTACAAACTATAGTTTGACGTACGCATATAAAAGAGATTTTAAATACAAATAATAAAAATCTTGTACATATATCAGATTATTATATGTTGCTTGAAAAGAACAATGTTTGAAGCCACGGAGTTAGGTATTTCCTAAAGAAAAAAGAGAAATGATAGATGCACTTTAACTTGTTACATTTCTCATAACTCACACATGAATGCATTAGGCTAACTTTAGAGTGCAAATAATAGTCGGGAAAAAAAAAATTGGAAAAACTCATACAGATTTTTGTACGAGTTTGCTTCGTCTTTGTGATAATTGCAGAAACTTTGTGTGTTCTTGTGTTTTGTGGTCTTTGTAGAGCGTTTTCGTCAAGTCTGGTTTTTTGGTATGGATCTGTTGGCATAAGCCGATTTGCGCCAATATGTATTGGCGAAAGGTATCAATTTGGTAGTTGAATCGAGTGTCTAATTACATTTTTTTTTTATTGTTTGTGGTTTTGTTAGAACATACTGAAATATTACAAAACCCTAAATCATGATTTGGTCAAGTGTACAGAGATTACTTGAAGAAAGTCATCTCAACGGCAAGGGAAAAAGAGTCTCCTACTCACTCAAAGGCCTCATGTTCAACTAGTGATAGTTCTAGTAATCTGAGAACGCGTTTCTTTTGTTAGCTGAGATCTTTCTTGATAGTTGGAAAATATTAGTTTTGATGGTTATTTGATTATTTGAGTTTGCTTGTTAGTTTGGTATATCGACTTAGCCTATCCGTATTAGGGTTTCTAGGTTTTGCTCTTTATGAATATAGCTTATAGTTTAGTATGAAGTTAAGTTAGTCACAATATAGTTTCTTGTGGTTTTGTAACCATTTCGGCATTCTCGTTTGTTTAATAATGTTCCTATTAGTTTGTAGTCTTATTTGTCGTACTCTGATATTCAACTAAATACAAAAATAACAAACTTCCACTTATCATGGAGAATTGGCTAGTAACCGATGTATTAGTTTCTAAAATAGTGGGGTAGTGCACAACTCATATCACGTCTGAATTGATAAACTTTAGCAAGCAAATGCTCAATGTACTTAGATTGAGATACAAACAAGCATATAGAATAATATAATCTACATACATAAGTTTTACAATATATTGACATGTTTATAGTGTTTCACAAACAGTGAAGGATCTACGGCTGAAGCTTTGAAACCATACAATACTTACGTAATCTGTAGACATTACCATGATGCTTTATACCATTTTTGCAGCAAGCCATGAAGGATTTTTGACATCTAACTGTCATAAGGACCAATTGAAATAAGTAGCAAGGGCTAGATTAATCTCATTGTTGTTGGTTTAAAACATGTAGAATTTCAAAGAAAATATGAGAATTTACAAAGAAATTTTAATACGAGTTACTGTCGAACATTTAGTGTAGGATTCTAACTTTACAAAGAAATTTTGATACGAGTTATTGTCGAACATTTAGTGTAGGATTCTAACTTTTAAATCTTCACTAAATTTGAAGAACTTAAGATATCGAATCAAAAGGTTGACTGAGTTAAAGAAAAAAAGATGCAAAAATAGTGAAGATCGTGTCAGAGTTGGACATTAATGCTCTTGATACCATGTTAAGATGAAGAAGCGAAAGAAAGAAAGGAAGTGAAAGGAAATGAGAGAATACAATCGTGTATCAAAAAATAGCTCAAATGATTAAAATACGAGTCTAAGATATTATAAGATTAAAATACGAGTCTAAGTTCCTTATAATCTCTTAGGTATATGAAGGCATAACCACTATTCTAACAATGACTAACAATTGGCTACTGTGTGTTTGCCACTAGTAGTCAGCTAGCTATACTTTTTCACTTCTCTCTCTAGAAAACGTGTGAAATTCTCTCTGGTTTCCTAATCTACAATCATCCTTGCCTCCGACCCTAGCCTTTGGCTTGGGTGTGGGTGGCACCTTGTCAATTCTCCTTCCTCTTTCCCTCTTTCTTTCCTTTCTCTCTTTTTCAATTTTCCCCTGAGATTTTTCTCAACTTCCGTGAGCTCTGTCTTCAATTTTCCCGTGAATTTGTCTCACCTTTGGACTTCATGTTCCTCCTTTCCTCCCCTCCCTTTCCTCTAGCCGTTACTTTCCAAACCCAAAACTCCACCTCCCATCACCTTTTCCATCTGCCTCTCTTCCTCTTATTTCATCCTCACCCTATCCTTTGCTCTGATATGTAGACTCCTAGCCGGATATCGTTGCCAAATTTAATTCCCTTCCTCATTTTCCCTCCCCTAACCAGCATGCCGGATTTCCCTTGAGACCAAGTGTTCTGCTGCTACGACCAAAGTAAGGGTATTTTACATACCCGCTTTGTCACGCCCCGATCCCGACATACGTCCAAGATCAACACGTGATGTCACCAAATACTCGTATATCTATCATACCTCGCCTCCGAGACATGGCAAAGCATAACTTGAGAATCAAATCACATAGTAATTTTTCGTATACTTTATGGTTGCATCTAACCTCCTCGTTAGACTACCTACGTACCCTAAGAAGGGATCAAACTATTCGTAGTTCACCATTCGCTGCAATTCGACATATATCACAGTCTGTTCAAGCGGAAAGGCATAACATTCCTCAATCAATCATTTGGACTTAACAAGCATGAATTATTCGATTCGAGCTACACAACGAACCCACATGACAATCAAGGTTTCTATTTCATCCATTATATAAATCACTATGTTTCAACATAAAATCGCAATTCATAACATGTAATATACCAAAGAATCAACAAAGCACAATAGCATCCTCTAGTCACATTGATCAACTAATCTAATCGTATTAATAACAATCATATCCAACATCATTCCACAATCACTTCAACTAACCAATTCCATGAATCAAGGAGGCACGATATTCACATTTAATTACGTTAATCAGTCAACAAGATCGCATATCAATGCACGGAATTTAATATAATCCCCTGCCTGGATTCCAAGTAATAACATGGTAATTCTAATTTATAGACATAACGTCTACTGTGAGCAATTCCTACTCACTCGAATCTAGGGTCGAACTAACTTTATGGAAATGAGCAAGAGTAGGGATTCCGGCCCACTCAATGGAAGCTAACCCGAAATATAATCGCCTATCAGATATACCAAGCATGATCACTCATGAAATACATATGGTCCCCCAACACGGATATACCAAGCAGGACCACATCCTAACTCTAGGTTGTGATCACTGAACATGGATATACCAAGCATGATCACTCCTAAAATGCGTATGGTCTCCCAACGCGAATATACCAAGCAGAACCATATGCATAGTCTAATAACGTAGGCAGTGATCACCCAACGCGGATATACCAAGCATGATCACCCCTAACAATCCCTTAATGTGGATATACCAAGCAAGACTGTATCTTATAGCTCTAGGTAGTGATCACCCAATACAGATATACCAAGCATGATCACTCCCATAATGCGTATGGTCTCCCAACGCGGATATACCAGGCAAAACCATAGCATAATCTCATCGTACAGGTAGTGATCACCCAACACGGATATACCAATCATGATCACCCTTAAAATACGTATGGTCCCCCAACGCGGTTATACCAAGCAAGACCATCCATGTACCATTGTTACATGGTGCAGTAAATGCAACACACAACCTACCCACAACTCAAACCCTATGAGTTCCTACACCATTAACTTCTTATGGCCACCAACTAATATGTCACACAAGCATATAAGTTCTACAGAATACAACTAATAAGATTCTAGGATCACATTGTCATAACATTTATTATACTTATCATTCACATTATTAAGAAGATAAATAAGCACATATATATCACAATATGACGTCCCATACACGTAAACCGATGTATATATTATATGGGATAACTCACTAGCCAATATAGGTCCACTAAGGCCTACATAGTCTCTAGTAATATTGATTTTTAATATTTAAGATCAATTCGTAGCATATTGACCAAAAGTAAGCAGTAATTAGATTAATACATATAAGGTTTCCTAGAATCCCCTACCTTGAATTCGATTAATTCTGTTCCTTTGAAGAACCTAATCGGAACATAAAAGTACAATCAAAAGTATAAATACAAGTAACACACATTAATAACCAAACTAAGTGTTTAATCACAAAATCAATATTATCTAAAGAAAGTACACTGATTCTGTAATCTTACCACTCAAATAATATCACTCAAATAGTAGTAAAGTAGATTAGAAAGGAATCTGGAAAAGAAAATAGGTGTGCCAAAACAGTACTCTGCTTCTTCACAAAATCTGCAGAAAAACAGCATTATTGGACCAAGTTTAGGCTCCCTTTGGAACAATCAAAACTAAACCAAATCGTGTAATATTATATGGGTTTTGAAGCTTGTGTTCTGTACTTTAAAAGCATATAAGTTTTGTAGAAAATGGAGCTCTAAATTGGAAGTTATGCCAAAAAGAAAAATGGAGTCTTAAAACTAGAAACCCAGTTTTCTGCTGCTATTTTGTAGCTCGCGACCCAAGTTTAAATAAGATTTTGATCAACCAAAACTCAACTAAACTGAGTGAAAACAATTGGGTTACAATCATAAACATATGTACTTTTAACACACTAAAAGTTTTTCTCCAAAGGAGCACATAAAGACCTAGAAATTAAGAGCCAAAGAAGACTACTAGAAACTTGAGTTTTCTTTGCAAATAAATCAATTTTCTGCAACTTACGTAACAACCCACTTCCAATTCATATAACAAATCCCAAAATACTTCCAGGTAGTCCAAAAGTCATGTATACAACATCCAAAACTAACACGACTCAAAATTAACAAGAAATTGGCCTTTTAAACCAAACCCTTGATCAATAAATTTGATCTACACACCCAATCTGAATTACCCAACTCTAATTCATGTTCAGACTGGTTCATTGAATAATAGAAAACCCTAAATAAAACTAAGAACTCCAAATATATCATGGCAGTTTCAATTCAACTTGAGGAAATTAAATTCGAAAATCAAGATAATCAAGGAACAAGGAATTTAACTTCAAATCTCTGAATCATTCCTTCACAATGACGTTCTCTAACTCTCAATTTCTCTGCCCCCTTTTCTATTTATGATGTTTTGCCCCTTCTCTGCAACCCCTTCAACCCCTTTTATAGTTACTCTAATCCTACTCAATTCTATAGTGAAATTCTGGATTTCACACCCTTAGCTTCACCTTCTATTCATGTGTTACTTTGTTTGTATATATTTGCATGGACTAGTGAATGAGTTTTGAATCCGGTGACTATCTTTTGGTCCAGCATCTTTGGTGAAGAAATCTAGATGTGGTGTGCTTTTGGTTGTGGGTTTGGTACTTTTGTGCGGTGATTGGTCGGTTTCACCACTTGGTCGTTTTCTTTAGTGTTGAAGCTTCATCAGATACTAGCATGACTTTGTGGTGGTGACTGCAGCAAATGCTGCTTTCTGCAGTTGGACATTAAGTGTAACATCCCACATCGCCCAAGGGAGTGATCCTTAAATGTATATTCACATCCCTACCTAGCACGAGGCCTTTTGGGAGCTCACTGGTTTCAGGTTCCGTAGGAACTCCGAAGTTAAGCGAGAAGGAGGCCAGAGCACTCCCATGATGGGTGACTCACTGGGAAGTTACTCGTGAAGTTCCCAGAAACAAAACCGTGATGGCGTGGTTGGGGCCCAAAGTGGACAATATCGTGCTACGGTGGTGGAGATGGCCCGAGAAGTGATCCAACCCTGGCCGAAATGTGACAAATGGTATTAGAGCCAATCCCTGGCCGGAAGTGTGCCAACGAGGACGTCGGGCCCCTAAAGGGGGTGGATTGTAACATCCCACATCGCCCAGGGGAGTGATCCTTAAATGTATATTCCCATCCCTTCCTAGCACGAGGCCTTTTAGGAGCTCGCTGGTTTCGGGTTCTGTAGGAACTCTGAAGTGAAGTGAAAAAGAGGCCAGAGCACTCCCAGGATAGTGACCCACTGGGAAGTTGCTCGTGAAGTTCCCAGAAACAAAATCGTGAGGGCGTGGCCCGGGGCCCAAAGCGGACAATATCGTGCTACGGTGGTAGAGATGGCCCAAGAAGTGATCAGCCCCGGGCCAGGATGTGACATTAAGGATTTGGGTTTTCCTTTTTGCTTATTTAATTGGGCTGGCCTTTTATGTATCTAGTTCTCCCATTGTATTTGGGTTATTTTGTCTTCCTCTGTGTTGGCATGTAACCTTCTTTTGATTTAATGAAGTTTACTTTTCAGTTCAAAAAAGAAAAAAAAACAATGACTAACAATTTCTTTAAGGGTGGTGCTATTAGCACACTCCTTGTTAATTTATGTTCTTTGATTATCTTCAATACATTCAATCCGACGCCCAAAAATTGATTGGGGTGTAAAGAAGATAAAATTGGGTTTGTCGATAGCACCACCATTTCTCTAATAGACTAAGAATTCTCATACAATTATCTTAAGACAAGTGTCATAATCTTAGCTTTGTATATCCTCAGTTTAAGAATAATATTTGAGATTGTTCACTATAAAACAATTTGTGAGAATATTACTAAGTAAACTTTTCATTCAAAATATTGACATAGGATAGCAAAATAACTTATCTACTACCGTGTGGCTTCAAACATTTTATTGCCTCCTTATATTGACAAATAAAATCTACTTCGCATTTTTAACATACATATCGTTATTGTTCAACATTTTATAGTTCACATATATATATATATATATATATATATATATAATAACAAACTAGATTAATCATTAGGGTTTAACCCACTGAGATATCTATAGATTCATCCAAAACTATGATTTATGCCAACGTCAAAATAGGAAGTGGCCCATGATAGAGAAGAAGGAGACGTTGGAGATGAACGATAAGAGGAACATGAAGAGTTTGAAGAAGCACTCGTTGGTTTAGGGTTCCTAATCATGAATGGCACCATATCTTGAAGCAACCCTTGTGAGCTTCTCTCTTCTTTCACAAACTCTTGATACCGGTCCGGAAACGGGCCGGGCGGCAGATCTGGAACTGGATCGGGAGTAAGGCTTCGCGGGCTCTCTTGTGCTTCTCGTTCTTGGTCTTCGGGTTGGGGATCCAAGGTTTTCTTCTTGGTCTTCTTCATTGGTGGAGTGGAGTTTTGGGCCTGGTTGTTGAGGTTGAAAAATGGGTATGCAAAGTGTAAATGGAGCCCTTCATAGGTGATGATGAGTGTGTCTGGGTCCTCACTGGACCTCTCTACTTGCTTTTTTGCACTGCATCTTGGATTTGTGCACCGGTAGTAGCTCCTGTATACAATCCAGAAAAAAAGCTGGGTGACAAATGTAAATTAAAAGATAAAAGAAAATAAATTGTTTGAAAGTATTTTTTTTCAAACAAGCGATATTATTACTTCAGACTACAATAAAGGGAGTATGAATGGTTTGAACTTGTAATTCAGTGAGTTGAAGAGGAAGGTCTTATCCACCAGAATAATCCGCCGGCCACTTGCAGTTGAAAGTTTAATGAACTTATGTGATTGTAGCAATATATCAACCTTTGTCTAATAGCCTAGTACTAGGGTTAGACCTCATTTAGTCTATAAGGTACAGGCGTTGGTAGGCATATTTAAGGATAATCTACTTGCTTAAGGTGTTGAATAGCGTGGTTGGCTTCATGCTGCAGTACTAACTAGAGAGCATTTCGTGAACTAATCTACGTAATTAGTATTAAAGTCGTCCAAGTCACGCCGATTAATTTCGACTCTTAGACGCATAAGATAATGAAGTGGTTTAGGATGCTTATAGAATTATCAATGCAAAGTTGAATTGTTTAGGTGCCTAATAAACAAATTATTTGACTCTGTTCAACAATTATCATTTGTTTTAAGTTAATTAATAATATATAGATTTGGACGTCTTATCCTTTATGAAGGGTAGCGTTATTCACACTTATATTTTGCCTTGCATTATTCTTTGCAAGAGCTTATGAACAATGAGATTTCTTTCATATACATGCGATATAAGAAGGTGGAGAATCGATAACCTTAGGTGTAGAACTGAGTGCTCATAACCGCTTGAGCTACAAACACTTATAGGGCTGCAATAATATCAAAACCCTAAAGCTTTTAAAAACACTTAACTCCAGATAAAGGGGAAGAAGAAGGAGATATATATAGTAAATAGTTACCTAGGATTAGGGCTATTCTTAATAGATTTCTGGCCATACTTCCTCCATTTATAACCATCATCAGCCATTATTCCATTTCCACAGCTTTTGATCTTCAGAGTGTACTTATGCTCAACCTTACTCAGACCCCTTTCTAGCAATGACAGCCTGCAAAATAAGAAAATGCATTTATAACAAACTACATAAAAAAAATAAAAAAACCCAATTAATTAACAATTCTATAGAAATGGTGAACTTAAAATTATTGAAACATGATATACAAACCTGGCGTTTGAAAGTTCTTGGGGTTGGACTGTTCCAGTTGTGACAGACAAAGCAGTCTCGATATCTTGGATCGTTGGACCCGAATAGACGTTAGGGATGAATCGGTTGATAGCCTCTTTACCGAAAACACTAGCCGCTCGGGACTGCACAGCCTCCTCCGGTAGCACAAACAGTGGTGAATCATTGTCCAGAAGCTCCCTCACCAGCTCTTCCTCCGACCAGTCCGACCACGTAGCAGCCATTGATTCCTCCATTGTTAACAGAAAAAGAAGGAGAAGCTGAGAGGAAATGAGTTGATAAGATGAGAATTATAGAGATAGTGTATTATCTGGTGAGGAAATAAAAGAAGGGAAAAGGTGGAGCAGATGAAGAGGGGAAGTTGTCACGTATACGTGTTTGCCTCTTGACTTTTAAAGTAAGAGGGTTTTGGTTTTGTATGCATTCTACTTTGACTTAACGAAGAATTCTATTCCCGTCAAACAGTAAACATATTTGGTAAACTGCACAACCCTAGCTACGGGCACTTTAAAAAATATGGGGTCATTTTCCTTGTGCATATATATATATATATATATATATGCTAGGGTAATTTCAATGCCTTGCCTACACAGATCAAATTTAAGAACACTAATTTTCACGACTGCATGAAATTTAAAAACAATTCCGGTGTGCAACACACTGGCTTCATGAACTTAATTTACGAGGAAAAAGTTTGTGAGGTAAATTGAGACTGGTTTTTTTGGTTGTACGCATTTGTTTAATTTTTTTTACCATTAAATTGGATAAACAGAAAGAGAATTAATGAACATAATTAAATAAAGGTGTGCACAATGATAATCTAAATTGCAGATATGCGATTCAAACTCTAGCTGCACATAAAAAAGTACATCTGCTCTAACTAATTTAGCTAGATCCATATCTGAGAAATTGCATGATAGTCGGGTGAAAATCATTTACTTTCTTTTGTTGTTTTGCAGCATTCTCTGTTTTCATTTAGTGTGTCCTTTGTCTTGTTATAATGTGTGTTTTGATAGGAGAAAATTTTGAATTATAGAGGCATCAAATGTGGACCAATGCTACCTGAACCATGACCCAATTTTCAACCCAAAGCAAGAGTCAACCACTAAAGAATCAATAAAAATATACCTTTTCATTATTTCAAAGAGATTACGTTCTCCTCTTTCTTTAAAAAAACAGATTAAAGACTTGAACTTCATTATCACTTCTTTCTAAATTCTTTAAGGAAGCATATAATTGGCTAGCTGGATAGTTACTTTATAAAAGTAGTTATGAGCTGTGATGACTTTTTAATTAACAAAAACTGCCTAATCTCATGTCATCAATTCATCACGCTATTTCACCTAGTTTAGTTGATAATAAGGATGCCGTTGTTCACCAAGGAATATTTTGGTTGCTTTTGACGGATTGCTTACTACTTGGTTGGATTGAATGTCAACCTGTGGAGGCGTAAGCCCGGTGACCGCAGCAGAACTTTGGGCTTTATACTATGGCTACGCAGGCCTGGGCGGGAGCAGAGAGAACTTTCCACCATTGGAAAACTGGTGGGTGCATTCCAGCAAGTCGCTTTGTTAACATCGAAGTTACACCGAGCAAGACTAAGATTGCAGCAATCAGTACGTGCAAGTTTATTAGAAGAATGATTACCTTTTTAAACACGTCACAAATATCTATTAAATGAGTGTCTTTGATTGCAAGAGATAATCTAATCTCTAATTAGACTGATAAAAGTATGAAACCCTACTTTAATTCTTCCCCCAACTTTTTCTTTTCCAACTCTCCCAAGTCTCGATCAAGTGAGATGACTAGCATGCAAAAAGGAGACAAAACATAATTAAAGCCTCCCGTAAATTAAGGTTTATATATACTCATACAGGACTAAGCATGCATGTTTATTGAATATTGCCAGAATACCGACCCACATTAAATCCAAGAGATCAGCATTTTGCAGTTTGCAAATCTCTACGCTTTCATTATTTTAGATTTTAGAGAGATTTGTTTTTTCTGTTGATGGGCTGGCGGTGCAAACAGTCAGTGCCAATGTCCAACAGCATAATGGTCCACACACATGCATGCATGCCTCGATCTTTCTCACAAGAAAGAAAACAAAATTAATTATTGCAACTAATTGTCCACCCAAATTCATCAATTAGGAGACTATTAGAAGAGAATAGTATTTTGTTAATCTTGACAACAATTCAAACAAAATACACGTGATCAATGACATAGTTTGAAAGAAACAAAGCTATGCATATATGTACAACCACGTATGTTGGCACTCCACCAAGAGTAGTATAAGTTTACATGTTACAATATTGATGGACGATAAGTCTATGCTTTATAGAGTAGTATATATTAGTTAATAATTAAATCTTATGTACATTAGTTGTTTATCACACAACGATGTTTCAGTACTGCTCAATAATTTAATTTTTAGCACGTAAAGTGGTTTAGAAAATGGACAACAGAAAAATTGAAAAAAAAAAATCTAGGGTGGTATTATTCAACCACCATCACCATAGCTTATTTATATTCTGAAAGTTTATCTTGAAACACAAGGTGAGCCGAGTGGTTGCTTCAAAGTGAGGGCAGGTTTTGGGGGTTTGTGGCTTTGACTTTTGTTAATCCTAGAAACATAAACAGAGGGTGCGTGCTATCCCCCTCTCCCGCTACCCTACCCGCGTAAAAACACAAAACTAGGGTTGACCGTCAGACAATGGGAGAGAGAGAGAGAGGCGTCGGTTAGCGGATGAGGGAGGTGGAGTGGGCGCAGCCGCGCAGGTTAAGAACCAAAACAAACCAACTTATCTTTGGTTTGGAAAAAAACTTGGACGTGTTCGCCAAAGTCAACCCCTTTCGATGCGGGGCCATGTGGGGACACGTGTGATTGGTAGTGTCCCACTGGTGTCGAGCTTCACGAGTGAAAGGGTACGGGCGGGTCGAGCTGTCGACGTCTGTGGTGTGGCAGGAGGAGGAGGAGGGGATTGATCCGAGAAGTGACGCTAGCTGTAAGCAATCTTTTGGGGTTAAAACAAAGAAGAGAAGGAAGGGGGTCCTAGAAAAGAAGGGCAAATGTCCTAATCTATGGTCCTTTGCAGGGGCATCTTCCTCTAGTACTAGCAGTCAAAATACTCAAAACCTAGTCTTCTAGATGCGGTGGCTACAGGTGGGAAACTGCCACCACTGTGTCTTAACCCACAGCGAGACCGTGCTAAGGACAAATGCCCACGCCAGAGCGGAGTGATTGATACATTTTGAGACCTTAACGGCTAGAAGTACTTAGCTTGACACATTAGATCGACTTACATTAAAAAATCGCCCACACGCTCAAGGTAGCATTTTTCATTCCACTATTCTGAGAAGAACTATGTTGTTGACAAGATAGTGAATTTGGAGTAATTTTTTGTATGATTGTTTAAATGGCTAGAGTTACATACTGTTACTAATCCACTCATGTTATAAAATATGTATTTTATTCATTAAACACTATATACTGTCTATGACATATAAAATATTTTGTGAGTTTTTATATCAGATCGCCACATGATCTTCACATAACTTTTTAACATACCTGGACAACATGGTTAATATTGAAGGAAGTTAGAATTTCTACCATAAAAAGGGGGGCTAATATGGTGAGGAGTACATCTCCTCATAAACATACATGCAAAGTTCTCTCCCCAATGTGAGAATCATAATCTCAACAAGTTCCCCAATTGAGATGAATTTTCAAACCTAATACACGGACAACACAAGTTAAGTGACTTAGAGGTTATGTGACTGTTGGGCTTCACTCATGTGGAACAACTTGTTCTGACATCTTGAAGGAATTATTCTACGTAAAACCAATTGGCAAATGAGGGTAGTCCAACTCCTTACAAGTAAGTGCAGGATCTCTTATTTCTCCAATATGGAATTCATACTCCCATAAATATGTCATGAACCTAGAGTATAGTCATTAATAAGGATACGTGTAATTGTAATACCAATGGAATGGGAGCACGACGTACAAATGTAAAGGTCGCACTGAAAAATTACTATTGGTAAAACAATAGGGCAGGTTTTGTCACACTAAAATTAAAATTTCTTGTGAATTGGATTACGGACTGTGTTAGTTTTCCCCTCATTCATATGAAGATGTGAAGAATGTTTTTCATCAATAATTAAGAAAACTTGCAAAAGTTTATAAGAAGTGCTAGGTCACTCTCCCGGTTGCCAACTGATTGTGGGGTGTGGAACCTCAACTTCTTTCATTGTATGTAGGCAAGTTAGCAAAATACGTGATAAAAGCCATTTTGTCACATGTGTTCATATTACGACGTTAAAATTGTCCATGTGTTAGACTTAAAATTTCACCACAGGAGGCAGGGTGTGTGAGGCATCAAATAGTATTCAAACCCACCAAGGTTTTAAAAGCCACTAGGCATTAGTAGGGCGGTGGGTAGGGTGTGCAGGCGCCTAGGCAGATGTCGTGCACTCTCACTGCTTCAGAGGAGTGATGAGTCATTTCTCACCTGTCTAGGTGTCATTTCTTAATTTTCCAAACACCAAAGGATTAGTTGCAGCGGTGACCAGCCTCCTAAATGACGCTAGGCGAGGATAACCCACTGTGTTCGGAATCATAGCGATTTGTATCTTTCTATTGGGCCTTATATTGTCAAGATAAAGGTAATTGATGATTCAACTCTAAATCTCCAAGCCCATCCTCTATTAAATCTGTTTTATGAATATTGGGCCCAGGGACTGAGAAAGCAATAAAAACTACACGTTTTAAGCTGGACATGGCCCATTAGCCGTATAGGCCACGGCCTACCCTTAAAATTCCACTTGGACCACAAACATTCAAGTTAAATTTCAGCCCAACTAAAACACACTCAAAACGGATTAATTTTCCCGCGCAAACCAACCGACTCAAAGTTAACACCGACATTAAAAATAGAAAAATATACAAAATGCGCTGGATTCGGGCCACGTGGAAACCCACGTAGGTGCAAAGTCCCAGTAACAATCGGACACGTCATCCCTCCCGCTTATGCTTAGCTGTCATTTCCATTTTCGAATAATTATTTTCAAATTTGAAATTTTGCAGGCCGCGCGCGAGCTCCATGTGCTGTTATATATCAGTAAAGTGATCGAAGGTGTGAGGGGAAGCTGGATTGGGAATGGAGGAGGATTGTGCGACACCGAAGCGGCGAGAGTGCCGGATACCGGAGGCGAATATGTGTCCGCCGCCTCCGAGGAAGAAGGCGGTTGGGGAAACGAAGCGGGAGCCGCCGAAGAATGGGTATTTCCAGCCGCCTGACCTTGATACTCTGTTTGCTCTGCCTCCGAGAACTCAAGTGTGTGCGTAGCAAAAGCTCTATTTGTTATACAAGATGATTTTATTTGTTGGTTTTCCACCGTACATAGTTTTGATTGTTTTTGGAATAATTTCCCTCCTTGTTTTCTTGAATTTTGCTTATATTGTGATGATATCGGAGTGAGTGGAGGGTGGAATGCCCAAAAGAGGAAAAATAAAATAAATTTTACAGTCTTTTCAAATACCCAAACACATGAAAATAAACAAGTTACAAGTTTTGGTGGGAGAATTTGTTCTAGAATCGAAATGTAACTCGTGTTCCTACATATACGATGAATGTTGTAGACACAAAGACATATACAGTGAGAGTCACGTGTAGGCTTCGGTTAGTTGTATAACATAGCTTTGTCTTTGGGGATGTACTTCTAGTAATAGAGACTTTTATTTTAAAGAAAACATAGAGGAAGTTGACTGAATTGCCAGATTTGCCTGATCACCAATATTCCAATTATGTATACTTATTTTTACTTTGCTATAAAGGAAAGTAATTGACGAAAAGATGCATACAATGTAATCCTTTCCAAAATATATTATGAAAAATATTTTCTTTGCAAGTGAAAATGAAGCAAAATCCAGCTCAGATTTAATTGCGAAAAACTTGATATGGACTTCGTATCAATGTGACAAGCAAAGAAATTCCTGTTTGGTGTTAGGGGCCAAATATGAATTAATGGGTCCTAAATGTTAGAAAATTAGAAATCAAAGAAATTTATGTTGGGTGTTAGATAGGGGCGGAGCCATGAAGGGGCTAGAATGGTTCCGGGCTTACCTTGACATTTGTTTTATAGAGAAAAAAATTAGAGCTATTGTTTTGATTTCCAAAGATTTTTTAGGGGATTAGGCCCCCCAACTTGAGGGGAGAAAGAGGAAGTTGGCGAGAAAATTGTTTCTTTTAGGAGACATTTGTTTGCTCTCATTAAGTGGGATTAGACTAGATTGAACTAGGTGTTAGTGTAGTCTCATGTTTGTTAAAGGAATGGACTAGCTTTAGTGAGATTAAACCTCACTCGCCTTGACTACAAGGCCTAGATAGTCTTAGTGAGACCCCCCAATTACCATCGGATTGCTAAGACCCTTTTTTCTTTTTTCTCTCGCGTTGTCCCACTCGACTCCTCATCCTACTTGACAACCTCGTCGGGACCATCCCAGGACCACCGCTGCGTCCTTGTAAATCACAACTTCCTCTGCCATTTTCTCTTCTTAGTTTTCTTCAGTTTTGTTTTGAAGATTCATGAAATTATTATTGGGTTTTGATAGATTTTTGTTTTTGATTGATTTGTGGGTTTTGATTACTACCCATTTGTTTTCAATTTATCTGCTATTTTTCCTTTTATGAATTGAAATATAAAGTTGTTCTATGTAAATTCTGATCTGTTTTGTTATTAACTCATTAATTTCTACAGGTATATGGGTGAGGGTGAGGGTGATGATGAAACCAATGTTCAAGAAATCTTATACAAGGCTCGTTCATCTTCTAAACTGCAAATTTGGTTCTATTTGCCTATCAATTTGAGTTGTTGAAAGTTTGATAATTCTCCAAATTGCAAAAGCACCTGCAATTCGTGAAGAAGAAGAGGGCTATGCCCTTTTACTTTTCCATATATTCATTTTGATATTTTTAATAGAAAATAAATTAAAATATAATAATAATAATAATTTATTGTTAGTCCAGCTTCTTAGTCCGACACTGCACCAAATGCTTCACTAAGTTAGTCCAGCTTAGTCTAGTCTAACCCAGTCCAGCTTAGTCCCTGAAGCTAATCCAGTTTAAGATAGTCTGGTGCAACAAACGCACCCTTAGAGTTTAATCTTTTTCACAAGGTGCTAGTGGTTGTTGACAAATTTGAATTCTGCTTCCATCCATGTGCGATTTTCATGTTCTCATTACATTTTTTGTTAGGTTGTTTTCTTTGCCACTTAGCATGGCTCCCAATTGATCAGAACGTACTAATAAAATGGAGTGGAATTGAAAAATCAACACCAACGTCACCGAACAAGCAAACATCAAAATGGGCAGTAAAGTAGTAGTTAAGATGATGACCAGACGATGAATGAGATAATAGATTTGCGAGCGTGAGAGAGAGATTCATGACTGTATTGCAGCGTTGTTTCAAAACTGGCATTGTTGGTGGTGTTGCAGTATTTTTTTTTTAAATTATTATTACCTTTGTGAGAGGCCCTTTCTAACCTAAAATCCCGACTCCATCATTCGACTACATATAAGTATAACTAGAACATCTAATACTTGCACATATTATATAATATTGGTGATTTTCAAAGGTGGCATTAGATCGGATGGGCCATCACTCTCATCGTACGATTTGGACATTACATAATTTGAATGTTTTATTCCTTAGATTCCAAGACAGAACAGTTGTGGACAGGCCCAAATAAAGATTGCAAATAAAGGGAAACATATGACAAGCAGATTGAGAGACTTGAGCATGCGTAGAAATGTAATTCTTACTTAGTTTTCTGCGACCTCACCTCACCTTACCTAGCAAGCTACAATTATCATTAGGGTTTGAGGGTAAGTCTTAGGACGTTGACCATTTGCCAGTTGAGGAGTAAGAGAGATGGACCTCTTAAAATTCTCCCGTCTGAATGCTAGTATGGATTGAGTCGTTTCTTTAACGTGATATTATTTGGTTATGCAAACGTTATAATTAAAATTATTCATTCTCTTTATTATCATGTAAAGATTATTTCTAGAAAATTCATTCAATTTGAATATCAAATAAATCAATTTAAGGGATAACTCCTAGTAATGCCAAATTGCCAACAGAGCTGGCCCTGAGGGTGTGTAAGTGGTGCCACTGTACAGGGCCTCCAATTCAGAAAGGCCCCCGATTACGATTTTATTTTACCTATAGATATAGTATAAGTTTTTAAATTGCCCAATTGTCTTCCGCTTCTTATCCATAATCCATATCCATAAAACTGGGTTCGACTCTACCTAGCGCCTTTTTTTTGTGTTTTTTTTTAATTTTTTGGGTATGTGGTGTTTATTTAATGTTTTATTTTTATTTCTTTTGTGTTTTATTTTAATTGTTTTGGTATTTAAAAGAATGAGTTCTGTTTTAATTTTGTTTAATTTAAAGCATGGTGTTTCAAACCCAAAAACATAGGGGATGTAATTAGGTACCTAACCGCCACACTAAGATTTTTGTTTTCCTTACATCATTTCAATTATATGTGACCATAATTAAATGTAAAAGAAAACATAGCAACAAAATGTTAGACCCTCTAAGGGCTTTTTATTGGGTATGTTAAAATAAAGAGTTTCGAACCCAAAAACACAGCACCGAATTTTTTTCTTTTACATAGCAAATAGATATCTAACCACAGCACGAAATTTTTTCTTTAACTCAATCTATAAATAATCATAAAAATTAAAAAGTAAAAGAAAACATATCAACCAAAATTCTATACTTATTAAGGGCCTCCTTGGAGTCTCGCACAGGACCCCAAAATCTCAGGGCCAGCCTGATTGCCAATGGCTCTTTACGGATTCCGTCAGAAGGCGTTATTGGTCATCCGACCATATAAGTCGCTGCATAATAGGATTTGGCACTCAAACTTAACTTACAGAGTTTGTTTGATTGTGTCATTTGTCGTTCACCCCTATAAGCCTGTCCATAAGAAATACTATCATTCAAACATTAAATTACGAATTTCGTCCAAATGTTTAACAATCACTGGTCCTAATAGGCCGTTCAACTTACACCACTTTTATCAATTTCCTTCTCCATTTTATGATCCCATCCTTGATAGGGTTAATTATTTTACTGCATAGATTAGAAATGAAAAAAATTCACATTATCAGTCGACTATACTTGCACGAAAGGCTGGTTATTATCGCCCCGATAAAAGGCGGACTATTGGATACATATTCCAAAAAATAAACTATATAGTATTTTTTTATTATGCGGTATAAATTTACAAATTAACAATATAACATGTCAAGTTTCACAAGCATTGAATTTCATTGCAACAACTTCAATTACATTGATATCGTGTTAGTCGTATTAGTTGAAAACAACAACCTTAGAAAGCATTGTGTTGTGTAGTTCGGATTCGAAGACCTAAAAGAAAAAGAAAGATACTCACTTCCTATAACGCCATGACATCTAGAAACACTAATTTTACAATTTGTACGCTAAGTATTACAACACGGATTAATTGACTGTTTAACTGCATAATCAATTAAAATTTGGACCACAACATGAACCTTGGCTTGTGCTTAATATCCCTCCAATAAAATAAGATCAGAAGGTAATTATGCTAATCGGAGATTAGTACTGATGGAACAGGTAAAATCTTACTTAAACCACACTCTAAAGTTCAGCTCGACCAACACCAAAGCGGAGCAGACAAGTAGAAACCATCTCAATAGTGAAGTTGAATATGAACAATTACATTTTCGTGCCATCTCTATCTATGCTCTCCTATATTATGATGCCTTGACCTCTTTAGATTACACTTACTCTCATTGTATCAATCTAGAGAGAGAGAGAGAGAGAGAGAGAGAAAGAGAGAGAGAATAATGGGTTCTTCTCATTTGCCTTGTTCTACTTCAATGGCAGCTTTTCTGTTCAGTTTTTGTGTTGTGGCATTGTTGACGCCGGAGTTTGTTTCCGGCATAACAAGACACCACACTTTCAATGTACAATTTTTCATCACACCTTGAAAGCCTCAATATTCTTCTTTGAACTACTTCATTTTTTTCTTTTACTATTGCGTAATGTTACCCATAACAGCTTCTTAAATTTAACTTCACTAGTTTTTAACTGTTTCTTTATTTATCATATACAGATTAAGTATCATAATGTGACTAGATTGTGCAACACAAGGAGCATTGTAAGTGTGAATGAAAAATTCCCAGGTCCTAGGTTGGTGGCAAGGGAGGGTGACCAAGTCCTCATCAAAGTGGTCAATCATGTCTCAAACAATGTCACCATTCACTGGTATGCAATCTATTTTATTTATTTGTTTATTAACAAGGTGATATTATACAAACTTAAGAACTGCAGGTTTTGTATATTTGACAAGAGGGTTGTTTCACATCAACTTTGCATACCCAGAAAGCCTTGGGTTGCGTATATTTATAGCCAAGACCTGAGGAAGACAGCCCTTTCGTGAACAGATCAGCCACCTGATCGCGAGAGCATATAAAATTAACAAGAAGCTCACCACGAACCACTTTTTCCCGAACATAATGATAATCAACCTCCAAATGTTTCGTTCGTGAGTGGAAAACAGGATTCGACGCCAATGCAATGGAGGAGACATTATCACACCAGATTTGAGGACGAAGAAGAGGGAGTTGTAAGTCACGAAACAAAGACCTGAGCCATGATATTTCAGTAGCAGTGTAGGCAAGTTGCCTATATTCAGCTTCCGTGCTTGATCTGGAAACAGTTTTCTGTTTCTTGGAGCTCCACGAAACCAAGTTGGATCCCAGATATATACCAAAACCCCCTGTGGAGTGCCTCGGTCTAACAGATATATATTAAATAGAACATTATATATTGATGCCTTGACATTTATTTCTTTGAACAACTTCAATTTTCGTCCCTCAATATTTAATAATCTCATTTATTAATTATATATTGATGTTTTATTTCTCTTTTTCTTTCTAATTTTAATGTATTAATTACATTCTATATGTCTAAATTAGCAAATGTGGAGATTGAAAGGAAGAAACAAAGCTACTATTCATGTCTGTGTTTGTTATGTGTGTGAGAGCAGGCATGGGGTTAAACAACTTAGAAGTGGATGGGCAGATGGTCCAGCTTACGTTACCCAATGCCCTATACAGATGGGCCAGTCATACACATATAACTTTACCATCCAAGGGCAGAGAGGGACTCTGCTATGGCATGCTCACGTCTCATGGCTGAGATCTACCATCTATGGACCTATCATCATTCTCCCAAAGCGCAATGAGTCTTACCCTTTTGTGAAACCCTACAAGGAGGTCCCCATTCTTCTTGGTAATTAAGTATAGCAAGCTAGCTAGAATTAGTGACAATTTTGAAAATTTGCATGGACATTAATGTTTGTGGAAATTGTTTTGATTTGCATGGATTTGGGTTTGTTGCAGGAGAGTGGTTTAATGTAGACCCTGAGGCTGTAATTAATCAGGCTCTTCAGACCGGTGGAGGACCTAATGTTTCGGACGCATTCACCATTAACGGTCTTCCAGGCCCCTTGTACAACTGTTCATCTAAAGGTAGTGTGTTTATGACATATTGTTATGTTATTAGACTATAAATGAGAATGCAAAGATGTCAAACTGTTTGACAACATAACAAAATAAATTGTAATGCTTTTGTGTGGGCGGGTGGTTGTTTGCAGATGTATTCAAGTTAAAGGTCAAACCAGGGAAGACATACCTCCTCCGGTTGATCAACGCCGCTCTCAATGATGAGCTATTCTTTAGCATAGCCAACCACACTCTCACGGTGGTTGAAGCCGATGCTGTCTACACCAAACCCTTTGAAACCGATACGCTTCTCATCGCCCCAGGGCAAACCACAAACGTCCTCCTCAAAACCAAGCCCAATTCTCCCAATGCCACATTCCTCATCCTGGCAAGTCCTTACTTCACCGGGCGTGGAACCCTAGACAACACCACCACGGCTGGAATCCTCGAATATGAGCACCCGATAACCACTCTTCACACTTCCATCAAAACCCTTCCTCTCTTCAAACCGAGTCTTCCACCTTTCAATGCCACCAAGTTTGTCAATGTTACCCAATTCGTCCAAAACTTAGCCAAAAAATTCCGTAGCTTGGCTTCCAAGAAATTCCCCGCCAACGTTCCCCAAACCGTGGACAAAAAATTCTTCTTTACCATAGGTCTTGGAACAGCCCCTTGTCCCCAAAATTCAACTTGCCAAGGTCCCAATGGCCTGAAATTTGCAGCGTCTGTTAACAATTTCTCTTTTGCCCTTCCATCAACAGCAATGCTTCAAGCACATTTTTCTGGACAATCCAATGGAGTTTACACCACAGATTTTCCAGCCAATCCTCTAGTGACATTTAACTATACCGGAACGCCGCCAAATGTCACAAATGTGGCAAATGGCACGAAGGCATTGGTGCTGCCATTCAACACAAGTGTGGAGCTGGTACTGCAGGACACTAGCATTCTTGGTGCCGAGAGCCACCCTCTCCATTTACACGGTTTTAATTTCTTTGTAGTTGGACAAGGGTTTGGGAACTACGATCCTAACAAGGACCCTGCTAAGTTTAATCTGGTGGACCCCATCGAGAGGAACACGGCTGGTGTTCCGGCTGGTGGGTGGATTGCGGTTCGTTTCTTAGCAGACAATCCAGGTACACTCAACTCACAGTTCAGTAACAAAACATAATGAATTGTCTCGATGAGTAATTTGTAACATTTAATGATATGTTTTTCAGGGGTGTGGCTTATGCACTGTCATTTGGATATCCATACAAGTTGGGGGCTGAGGATGGCGTGGATCGTCCAGGATGGACCGCAAGCGAATCAAAAGCTGCCACCTCCGCCGTCCGATCTTCCGAAGTGTTGATTTTGAGTCACAATCTGTCCGGATTTCCCTTTTTCTTGAGTGAACTTGTAATGATACCTCCCCCTTTTGGCATTAACTTAATATTCATTACATGATAAATTATGATTATATTATTTTGCTACATTAACATCTCCCGAGTCATGAAAAGAATATTACGGATTTTCTTTCTCCGGAGAGATGTTTTGTGTACATAATTCGTGGTGTATTTTTTTTGGAGTGAAAGTCTTCGTTCATATGGTTGATGAATGTAAAGTTTTACACCGGAAATCAAACTGAATTAAACACAATTCAAGTTAAATGGTTTGAATAGCATGTGCATCGAGGTTTTTTTTGTATAAAATCCCACTCATTGGATCGCACATGCGGGTAAGTTGGAGGCCGATCATCCTTGTAAATATCTTATCGTTTATTTGAAAAAAGAGTTGGGGCTCCCTAGTGTGCGAGAACCAAAACTCTTTCAAGATTAATCCTGGTCAACATATTTTATATATATATATATTTTTTTTTTTTTAAATACAGATTTATTGCTCCACATTGGAGCAATGAGTTCTACAGCATTAGCGAGGAAAAATACTGCTCGAATTCTTGATCAATGGTTGGCTTCCTGCTGCTGCCTGCTGATTGACCCTCTGCAAACACGACGACGAAAATTCTATGCCGATCAGTAAATGGTAAAAACAAAGATAAATTCCACATGTAAAGGCAAACAGAAATTCCTTAAACAGAAACTTTCAATAGGACACCTGAATTACCTTGGTTCACACTCCATCTTCCGGATGAAAGTACATATGTGTTCGGCTTCAAACCGTTGGGGTAGATGAGATCTTCGCAACCTGTGTCCATACATTCCTCAATGCAGTCATCTCCGTGTTCTGCGAAAATGTAATCCATCCGGTTTCCAAATTCCTGGATGTGTTCTTCAAGATTCTGAAATTCTTGTATTTTGTCGTGTGGATGCATAGGTTGATGGTCTCCATTCACATATTTTAGTTCATCTGCACTATGGCTGATGCCTTTCCCTGATGAAGTGGAAGGCCTATCGTATTGGCATGTCTGTGCATACACGGGCCCGACTTTAGAATCACCATAAACCGACGTTGCATAACCAGAATCTCGGGCGAAACTATTGCTGCCTCCTCCAGATTCAGGTTCAGACCTGTCATCCAGGGATGCCCCGTCTATCTTGCTGTTCAGTGTCTGTTTTTGCATATTCTTTATTTCAAGGTTTCCATCAAACATGGAGACGGATTCATCAGATGGAAATACTCGTGCCCAGCACCTGTGCTTTGGTGGTGGCAAGCCTAATTGCTCCTCGTGAAATTTTCTTTTCTTCATCGGACTTATAACATTCATGACAGGGAAGCTGTTTAAGACATTAATAGCAGAACAAAGATGAGAAAAGCTGCAATTACCAATAAAACTTGGACAATCAGAACTAGCAGCTATTTCAAGTTTCCTAGATTTTTGACAAGAAAACAAAAAGAGGGATTAGGTCAACATGGGGCCTCTTTAGGACTGCTTCTGGAAAAAAAAAGGCTTTCTGACAACCAAAAACTTTACTGACTACATTCGACTGAAAAACTTAAAAAAGCTTCAGGATCATAGAAGCACTTTCTGAAGAAACACCAGCAAGATTCTGGATTTCTACTCGTTTTTTATGCATGATCTACTAAAAGCACTTCTAGCAAAAGTGGTTATAAGCATATGTGCTTCTTAAAGAAGAAGTCCCAAACAGGCCTCCCATTGAGTATCATCTAAAATAAAGTGGAATATTGCTCCAATAAAAAATATTCAACCTTGAGTTTGAATCATTGACCAAGGGCTGGTTTGCTGAGCTCAGGGAAGCAACAATTGGACATTGAATTCATCTCTACCTCAAAATTGCCTCCTTTAAACCCAAAAAATAATCCCAAAAATGACAATTAATTAACAACACGCTCTAAATTTGGCTACTTGCAGCTGAACTCAGCAGTAACAATTAATCCGCTCGTCAAATTTAGCTACTTGATTAAGTCAAACAGTTAACAAACAAAGAGCTAGTGATCTGAAAAAATGATTAAAAAAAAAGATTAAAAAAGGTTGAAAGTAAGCACACCTAAAAAACAAAAAGAAACCCAGAAACCAAAACCTGTGGATCTCAGATGGGTTCTCTTTGAATCCTTCCATCTCCATGTCGATCTAGAGAAACGAACTGGACGAGCTAACTCAACTCAGCTCAACTCAGTGAGACGAAGGAAAATAATACAGATTGGGCTCCGAGGATTGCTACCTGCAATGCGTACGGGAGAGAAACATGGATATTCCTCTCCCTGTCTCTGTCTCACTCAACGGTTACAAGGTAGCGCGTGTTCTGCAGGCAAGGAGATTTAGTCTTGCGCGTGTTACGGTTTGCATGGGAGCCGCGTGGTGGATGATGAGTCGGATAGAGCCATTGCGAGTCCACGTGGTTTGGCGCGAAGATCCTTGGTTCAATCAGCGACCCATCAAGTTGGCACAGAGTCGAATGTACACAAACGCATCATTTTTTTATACCAGTTTTAACAAAACATTCTAGTACTGCTCATTTTTTCACAAAAATGACATTTGTACTTTAAAAAGTAACTTCTGGTACTATTCACTTACAACACATTTTTTTCATTTTGATTAAAATTCAAAGTTTTTAAATTTTTTTCATTAGTTTTTTTTTTATTCGAATCACCATTTGAAAGCAAAAATCTATTGCATACACCCAGTGGCGGAGTCTTTGTATCTGATCGCTGTAAACAACTAAAGCAAACTAAATTGCAATCTCATCCTCTACTTCTTCTATTTTCTTTTATTATATTTGTCTTTCATTTTCTTTTTTCTTGTATGCGACTCTATTGTGTACATCATGTACTCGATGAAATACTTTAGTTGAAAAACCTTGACTATCTTTAACATTACTACATAGTATCTTACAAAAAGTAGTAATTGTCAACATATGTTGGCACAAACTTTTGAATAATGTTGACTAGAATTAACATGTGCCTACTAAGTGCTTGACGAAATGGCCTAATGATGCTTTTTTCGATGATGTTATAACCCTATTATTTGAAAATTCTGGCTACAACCCTGCATATACTTAACATAAAAACAAAGATTTTTCAGTGTGCTTAAAACACGGCCCAATACACCAAGTGTAACAATACAATTGGTTGAAAACTTAGAAAAAAAATTTCTAAATATTGTATTATGACTAAGGTTTTAAAAGATGCTAGGTGCTAGTTGGGCGGCGGGCTGGGGCCTAGCGCCTAGACGGGGTCTAGGCTAATTAAGTGGATTTAACTAAATCTATTATATTTTGTATAAATAAGTATCTATTTATACTTAAAATATATATAATTTCATCATAAACTACAAAAATAGAATGACATATATATATAATGAGCTATTGGAACATGATGAAAACATAGGGAACAAACATATAATGTGTGTTAATTCAAGTTTCAACAAGTCTCTTACAATTTATTGGAAAAAATAAAATGTAAAATAAAAGTTATCTATTTTTTGTCTAAGTGAGTCAGTGCCTAGACGGGTTTGGGTGGGTTAGGCGGGTGCCTAGCGGTCTAGGTAGGCACCTCATCAAGTCTAGGTGTCAATTTTCAAACGCTTAGGTATTATTCGAGGCGGTGGCCAGCCGCCTAGCGACACTTAGGCAGGAATTTTTAGAATAGTGATTATGACACTGGTATATTGGGTCGTGTTCCTGGTACACTGAAAAATTTCTCCACAAAAGTGAGCGTCACTTTAATGTCACTTACCACTGGTCTTTAAAATATCATTATCAGTGAAAATATTGATATGCAAATTTATGCATATACCAATAGATATCAATATTGATATCAGTTGTCTTCGATCGAAATAATGAAAATTTGCTTAAAAACGTGAAAATTTAAAATGAAACTTTAGAGAATATCTGTTGACCCTAGAAACTACCAAGTCTACGTGGCACGCAAGCCGAGTAATCTATAAGCTAACTACGTCCTTCGGTGAATGCGGGGTGTGCCAACTCGTGGGCCGAGCTCGACCGAGGAGTAAGTTTGTTGATGTTGCGTTGGGTGCGCGGCTGACTTCTGCGTCTTGCGATTGCGACCGAGGAAGGAACACGTCTCGGCCTTTTGGGTTCTCGAACCTGAAGACAAGGCTACTATTCTTACAAAGTTCACAAATCGTCATCGTCGGATTCGGTCACAGTGATGTTATTCATCAGAGTAAACTCACGCCGAATCGACACCAAAGTATAGGGACACAAATACTCAAAGCGAATATAGGTCTTAATAGTGAACGTGGTTCGGCCGTCTGAATGCCGAACTCTAAATCCCACTTGAGAGTATCCAATCATAAAACAACTCGGTGTGCAATGCGCCGAGCTCAGTAAACTGTAACACCTCACTTCGCCGAGAAGGCTAATGAGATGACCTCAATCAATAAGGATTCGAAAATCCTTCTCAACCGAGACTTGGATAGGTAACCAACCGTCCTCGCCGCAGTGCTGTTGATGCCAACGGAAGATGCTGCGAGATCGGCTGATTCTACGACGACAGAGCTATCTATGCCGACTTAAGATATCACCGGTTGCTTTCACAATGCTGTTGATGCCAACGGAAGATGTGTTAGCGAAAAGAGAAAATAAAAAATCTCAAAGTTGTTGAGAGAGTTTGCGCAGGGTAGTTGTGTGTTGAATAGGAGGTCCTTTTCTCGTTGCCATTGCCTCTATATTTATAGGACTGAGGTACTTGCTTGGCACAGCTTAATAATTAAGTAGAGTTCATCTGCAACTCAAACTAGTACAGCTGATCCGTGCCATAGACTAAGGCCTATCCCCTTTTTAGGCTTGATATCACGTCACCACAAATAAACAAGTTTATCTCCATAAAATAAACAAGTTTATATCCATGCAATCACTTCACCAATCAAATCCATCATGTATGTTTCCCCCATGAAGACCACATGCCTGCATGACAATTCCTTCATCAGCTTAAACTCTGAAAAGCAATTGATGAAATTCACCACCATATCCCAAGACAAAGCCACGTGCTTCAACCTTGTCCATAAATTCAAAGTCCATTCGAATTGTACCACCCACATCCATATTAAGAATAGAACTTAGGCTTTGAGAATAATTTGCCACGCAGGAGATTGCATGCACTTGATCTCATGAATATTAAATTCATTTTTAATTATCACCATATAGATAATAACCTGTTCAGACTTCAATCCCATTAGTAGCTCCCAAGTGACGTCATAATATCATCATGTTCTGCATACTTCATTATCTGAAGCTGTGTGTATTTATCTCAAATAAGAAAAGTGTCAAGATAATTCATTATTAAAGATAATTATTATGATTAAAAATCATAATATTATCCTAACAACAAAATTATCCTAACTTTTCTATCTGACGGTGTGGAGCTATGCTTACTCAACGGCCTCGATTACTTGGGCCGATGATGTAAAATCGGGTCCAAACAATATCATATGACAGTTTGTCAATATTTAACATATATGTCGAAATATCAACGAAATTTGTCGATTTTAGTTGAAAAGAGTTTCTCCGATAGGGGTGAAGTCTCCATATTCTTTTCTGTTTTTTATGATATTTCCACTGAAATATCGACCATATCGAGAAAATTTCAAAGGCTGCTTACTAGTCATTCTTAGTGTTACAAATGTTTTAGTTTTCATTAATTTTAAATTGTTAAATTTGATTTTCTATTTTCTATATCAGATTTTTTATTTGAATTTTAAAATTGTTAAATTTAAAAGTAAAGCAAAACTAAAAAATCACGAAGATAAATTAAGTTAAATAAGATTCAAAGCAGCGATGCCAAAAACTTTATATTAAAGAAAAATTACACAAAAAATTATTTATATTTTTTTTATTGGAGCTTTTATTTGCACTCATAAAAGTCAGCCTTCACTCATTCAATTAATCTTCCCTTATAACAAACAATAATGAAAGTGGGATGCTAGGTATGAGTTACTTTGCGGGGTAAAATGTAAAATAAATTGTACATGTTGTTGTACAACTTTTCCCTTCGATAACTATATGTACGTATAAAGCTCATTTGGTGTATGAAATTGGCATACGATAGATCATTTGTAATATTGAAGGTGTGGTTGAATGGTTTCTCATTTTAAAAGGATCGGAATAGGATTAAGATGCGAAGTAAACTGATCTCTTTAAATCCTTTCATTTTGGGAGGATTGAAATTGATAAGTTTTTGACTGAGCAATCTATCATATCGTTTGACCCGTATGAATACCGAACCCCATCTTAGTTGGTCCATATCAACCAGATTGCTCGAGTTTGCTTTCACAGTGAGTTGAATGAAGTTTGTTGATTATTGAATCTATGCGAATAGTCCTACCTAGGCCCATACCTTCATTTTGCTTGTAGTGATTGGTTTAAGGTAGAATTTTGCCGATGTCAATCCTTTTATTCGATTTATTCACAATGACTTTCTTTCTATTACTTCGCATTTGTCTGATCGTATACATTCTCTGCCATGCTTCCTCAATCATTATGAAAGGCGGAAATTATAAAATTATGCATTCCAAGTTGGTCACAATTGTTTTCAAGAGTGTGATATCCACACACCCTATTTTACTTCTCACATACTCTTCTAATTTTCGACTGTCAGATCGAATTAATTAAAGAAGATCAACAACAACAACAACAACAAAGCCTTTTCCCACTAAGTGGGGTCGGCTATATGAATCCTAGAACGCCATTGCGCTCGGTTTTGTGTCATGTCCTCCGTTAGATCCAAGTACTCTAAGTCTTTTCTTAGAGTCTCTTCCAAAGTTTTCCTAGGTCTTCCTCTACCCCTTCGGCCCTGAACCTCTGTCCCGTAGTCACATCTTCGAACCGGAGCGTCAGTCGGCCTTCTTTGCACATGTCCAAATCACCGGAGCCGATTTTCTCTCATCTTACCTACAATTTCGGCTACTCCTACTTTACCTCGGATATCCTCATTCCCAATCTTATCCTTTCTCGTGTGCCCACACATCCCACGAAGCATCCTCATCTCCGCTACACCCATTTTGTGTACGTGTTGATGCTTCACCACCCAACATTCTGTGCCATACAACATCGCTGGCCTTATTGCCGTCCTATAAAATTTTCCCTTGAGCTTCAGTGGCCTACGACGGTCACACAACACGCCGGATGCACTCTTTCCATCCAGCTCGTATTCTATGGTTGAGAGATCTCCATCTAATTCTCCGTTCTCTCTTGCAAGATAGATCCTAGGTAGCGAAAACGGTCGTTTTTTTGTGATCTTCGCTAGATTGCTCCGGTCATTAGTGTGGATAAGTATATAAATGGATAGAGATAGGAAAGCAAACACAAGATGTACGTGGTTCACCCAGATTGGCTACGTCCACGGAATAGAAGAGTTCTCATTAATTGTGAAGGGTTTACACAAGTACATAGGTTCAAGCTCTCCTTTAGTGAGTACAAGTGAATGATTTAGTACAAATGACATTAGGAAATATTGTGGGAGAATGATCTCGTAATCACGAAACTTCTAAGTATCGGAGTGTGGTGTCGTCTTGACTTGCCTTATCTGTCTCATAGGTAGATGTGGCATCTTCTCTGGAAGTACTCTTCCTCCATCCAGGGGTGGTATCTTTAACTGGTGGAGATGCACAAGGTAATGTATCAATTTCACTTGAAGCTTACTTGTAGTTTCAGGCTTGGTCAAGCGCGATACAAACCATGTAGTAGGAGTCCCCCAAGTCGCCGAGCTAGGGGGTCTGCTGAAAGAGGTGACAGACAAGGTAAGCAATCAGAGCTCCGACTGATTGTTCACCTTCTCCCCATCTTGCAGCAGCATGAAGGATAAAGAGAAGAAAAATGAGAAGAGATGATATGAGATACTTTTGCTTTTGAAGAAGTAACTTTCCACAGGCTTATTCTTGAACTGAGCTGGAGGGTTTTCTGGTTTCCTCCAGAGTATAAGGCCGACTGAAGAATTTGAGGGTCAAAACAAGTCCATCAAATCTAGAGTACGTTCCACCCTGCTGATATGGGATACTTTTGCTTTTGACAGAGTAATGGATGTATCGGCACGTGTGCTGTTACGCTTGTCTCCACATGCTTCCTTGTATCCTTCGCACTTGCCCTATCTGTTCCTCAAGCAGATGCGGAATCTTCCCTGGAAACATAAGATGTTGAAGATGAGTACTCGAGAGCAATGCCAGGTAAGTAATCAGGTAAGGGGTTCCAGGCAGTCAGTTCCTGGCTGGAAGCTTGATTCCAAGTGCTGACTGATTGCTCTCTTTCTCCTTGTCTTGCAGGTAAAAACAAGGCCAAAAGAAAAGACAGGGAAAAAGCATGATATGGGATACTCTTGCTTTTAACCCTGATGATATGAGATATTCTTGCTCTAGTATAGCTTGTTTGCAGAGGTATTATCGGGGGGAAAGAAAGCTGAATATTTCGAAAGGCTTCGTTGGGAGTGCCCTCTCAGATATGATGAAGGGTTGAGCATTTTTTGCAGGTCTGCCTGTCCGTTGGGGATGGAGGTCGACATATATAGGAGTCTCCCTAACAACAAGTAGTAATGCTATTCCTTTACCCTGCTTGGTCATAGCACGGTAGTGGGAGCTGCCAGTTTCACATGTTTTAACTCTGTCAGAGCACTTTGAAAAAGTGGTCTGTGGTATCTGGCTCTCGAGATTCGGAGAACGATGCCTCTTCGATTTTTGAGAAAGCAATCATGCTGGGGGTCTGACTCTCGAGATTCGGAGAGCAGTGTCTCTTCGATTTTTGAGGAAGTAATCATGTTGGGAGTCTGGCTCTCGAGATTCGGAGGGCGGTGCCTCTTCGATTTTGGAGCAAGCAATCTTGTTGGGAGTGTTGTCTCGAATGTGAGTAAAGGTTGGGCATGTTTGCTAGTCTACCTTGCCACGAAGCACAAAGGTTGACACACAGGGACTTTCCAATTATCCAGCAATGGTACTGTTCCTTTACCCTCTCTTCGATTTTGAGAAAGTAGTCATGTTGGGAGTCTGGCTCTCGAGATTCGGAGGACGGTGCCTCTTCGATTTTGGAGCAAGCAATCTTGTTGGGAGTGTTTTCTCGAATGTGAGTAAAGGTTGGGCATGTTTGCTAGTCTACCTTGCCACGAAGCACAGAGGTTGACACACAGGGACTTTCCAATTATCCAGCAGTGGTACTGTTCCTTTACCCTTGTGGGTAATAATATGGTAGCTAGACCTTCAAAATTTATGTGTCTAAACTTTGTTAGTGCTGTTTCTTTGCTATTCTTTTACCTTTCTTGGTCAGAGCGATGTAGTGGGAGCTGCAAGCTTCACGTGCTCAACTTTGGCAGAGAACTTTGGCAAAGTTATCTGTGGTACCCATGAGCTATTGTTGCGTGTGGGAAGTGGGTGATTGAACAGTAAGATTCATGTGCTTTCTACTTCACCAGAAGTCTTCGACAGAATGCCCATAATTTCTGCAAAGCTGAGTGTGCGTGTGACAGGTGCTGACAAGGCTAGAAAAGTAGGTGCCTCTTCGATTTCTGAGATCGGCCCTCGTGGTCTCTGAGCAGCCCAGCTTTTGAGAAAGCGAGCGCCTCTTCGATTGATTCGGAGAACGATGCCTCATCGATTTTTGAGAAAGCAATCATGCTGGGGGTCTGGCTCTCGAGATTCGGGGAGCAGTGTCTCTTCGATTTTTGAGAAAGTAATCATGTTGGGAGTCTGGCTCTCGAGATTCGGAGGGCGGTGCCTCTTCGATTTTGGAGCAAGCAATCTTGTTGGGAGTGTTTTCTCGAATGTGAGTAAAGGTTGGGCATGTTTGCTAGTCTACCTTGCCACGAAGCACAGAGGTTGACACACAGGGACTTTCCAATTATCCAGCAATGGTACTGTTCCTTTACCCTCTCTTCGATTTTTAAGAAAGTAGTCATGTTGGGAGTCTGGCTCTCGAGATTCGGAGGACGGTGCCTCTTCGATTTTGGAGCAAGCAATCTTATTGGGAGTGTTTTCTCGAATGTGAGTAAAGGTTGGGCATGTTTGCTAGTCTACCTTGCCACGAAGCACAGAGGTTGACACACAGGGACTTTCCAATTATCCAGCAGTGGTACTGTTCCTTTACCCTTGTGGGTAATAATATGGTAGCTAGACCTTCAAAATTTATGGGTCTAAACTTTGTTAGTGCTGTTTCTTTGCTATTCTTTTACCCTTCTTGGTCAGAGCGATGTAGTGGGAGCTGCAAGCTTCACGTGCTCAACTTTGGCAGAGAACTTTGGCAAAGTTATCTGTGGTACCCATGAGCTATTGTTGCGTGTGGGAAGTGGGTGATTGAACAGTAAGATTCATGTGTTTTCTACTTCCCCAGAAGTCTTTGACAGAATGCCCATAATTTCCGCAAAGCTGAGTGTGCGTGTGACAGGTGCTGACAAGGCTGGAAAAGTAGGTGCCTCTTCGATTTCTGAGATCGGCCCTCGTGGTCTCTGGGGAGCCCAGCTTTTGAGAAAGCGAGCGCCTCTTCGATTTCTGAGATCGGCCTTCGTGGTCTTTGAGCAGCCCAACTTTTGAGAAAGCAAACGCCTCTTCGATTTCTGAGATCAACCCTCGTGATCTCTAAGCAGCCCAGCTTTTGAGAAAGCAAACGCCTCTTCGATTTCTGAGCAGGCGCCTCTTCGATTTCTGAAGCTCCGTCGAGTGCAGATTTTTATAGGGGCTGGCATTAAGTTCCAAAGCACACTTGAATCTCCACCAGTAGAAGCTTCATTCTTGCACTTCTAAGATCTTGATTTGTCCGACCTCTTCTCTCTCTTCAACACCTTTGAAAATGTCTGGCCCCTCCGACCGTCGTTTTGACTTGAACCTTGTTGAAGAGGCAGCCCCGCCTTCTCCAGACAACATATGGCGCCCATCCTTCGTCTCCCCTACTGGTCCTCTTACCGTTGGGGATTCCGTGATGAAGAATGATATGACCGCTGCGGTGGTGGCCAGGAACCTTCTCACTCCCAAAGATAACAGACTACTTTCCAAACGGTCTGATGAGTTAGCTGTTAAGGATTCGCTGGCTCTCAGTGTTCAGTGTGCAGGTTCTGTGTCTAATATGGCCCAACGCCTATTTGCTCGAACCCGCCAAGTTGAATCATTGGCGGCTGAAGTGATGAGTCTCAAACAGGAGATTAGAGGGCTCAAGCATGAGAATAAACAGTTGCACCGGCTCGCACATGACTATGCTACAAACATGAAGAGGAAGCTTGACCAGATGAAGGAAACTGATGGTCAGGTTTTACTTGATCATCAGAGATTTGTGGGTTTGTTCCAAAGGCATTTATTGCCTTCGTCTTCTGGGGCTGTACCGCGTAATGAAGCTCCAAATGATCAACCTCTGATGCCTCCTCCTTCTAGGGTTCTGTCCAGTACTGAGGCTCCAAATGATCCCCCTCCGGTGCCTTCTCTTTCTGGGGCTCTACCGACTGCTGAGACTTCTCCTAAGCAACCTTTGTGAAGGCTCCCTCTTGTGTGTTTATTTTGACTCATGTATATGTACATATTTGTAGCTTATCGGGGATATCAATAAATAAGCTTTCCTTCATTTCAACGTATTGTGTTAAATACACCAAAGCCTTCTTCGCTAAGTTCTTTGAATTTTCTTTTGTTGAAGCTTGTATGTTGAAGCTTTCTGAGTGGAGCATGTAGGTTGGGGTAGTGTTCCCTTAATTTCCCGAGTGAGGAAAACTTCTCGGTTGGAGACTTGGAAAATCCAAGTCACTGAGTGGGATCGGCTACATGAATCTTAGAACGCCATTGTGCTCGATCCTGTGTCATGTCCTTCGTTAGATCCAAGTACTCTAAGTCTTTTCTTAGAGTCTCTTCCAAAGTTTTCCTAGGTCTTCCTCTACCCCTTCGGCCCTGAACCTCTGTCCCATAGTCGCATCTTCTAATCGGAGCGTCAGTAGGCCTTCTTTGCACATGTCCAAACCACCGTAACCGATTTTCTCTCATCTTTCCTTCAATTTCGGCTACTCCTACTTTACCCCGGATATAATTTGGGGTATGTGAATAGCACATCCCTTGTTTTCGTTTCTTCCTTTTAACATACCTTACTTATAGCGGATCATCCATCGCCATCCAATCTAGACACCAAACGAACCCAAAAAAGCAACTACGGAATTAAAAATGCTAGCAATTTCAATTGAACAAAGGATTTTCAGTAAAAGAAGAAAAAGTGAACCACCATTTCTCTTATTTCTTTAACGTTACAAAGGATTACAATTCTTCCAAGTTACACAAACACCCCGCTGTCTCTACAAAAGCTGCCCTGGCTGGTAAAAGCTGGGATGCTGATTCTCCCCTCTGTACAAAACCCTATCAACTGAAGACCATGCTGTAAAACTGTAAAACAATGGTTCAAAGTAACTACCCGACGACAAGCGAAAAAACAAACTCACATCCTGCGCCTAGTTTCTCAGAGACCGATTAGTTTCGGCTATTGACAAGGACCCTATAATAAATTGTTTCCCCTAAAATCGTTTCGTTGAAACAAACAGTTTCAGGAACTCCTAGACCATGAATTCCATTAGTAGGGGACAAGGAAAAGTCCTTTTGCTTCTTTTGGAGCGACTCGTAGGGAACACTGGAAAAGGACTGCCAGACATCATCACAAGACAGGTCCGTCCAACCCGACCACACTGGTAAGTCTTGTGAGAATGAAAATCAAGATCATGAACCCGGGAAAAATTCATTCTGACATTGATGCTCCAGAAGGGTAATCATAGGCGGTACGAAAGCGAAGTCCGGATCCAATATGTCCCGATGTGGGGAATGCCCAACTGCAGATATTTGGTCCCAGTACCTACAGCAGTCAAATATGATTTGAATGTAATCGATTTGTAAAATAAAGTAAAAATCACAATCTACCATAAGACCGAAAGGTAGATTCAGATTGCACCGTTGGTGCTTCAATTTGCATTGGTCACACTTCTGGCCTTGTAGACAATCATTCTAGTTTCTAGCTTTTAGGTTGAACAGAGCAGAGAAGCTCTATAGGCTAAATACGATCCGAGTTGCCACTAGAGAAGCTAAAACTTTAAACCACGAAAACAACATTAATGAAGAGTTTACATAGTTTTAACCACCAAATAAAAGTGGGAGGGAAAATACCGTTGTCAAATTTTCATAGGCACCACGATCATATGGATGGGAATATATTTGCCCTCCTTTCTCTGCAAGCCACATACCTCTCACTCCTTCATGGTACTGCCAGAAAGAAGGAAAAATAAGTGCTATGAAATAGCGGTCCAGATATCTAAATCAGATTTGCCGCCAAAAAAAGAACAATAATATACAACTTGTTAATTCCTAATAACCTCAATTGTGGTCTTGTTTTGCAAAGTGAGGTAGATATGCCAACCTAAAAGAACACTCAGCGCCACACATAAGGGAACTAGCAACAGCCCAGAAATGACCTGAAACTTGAAAAGAGAAAAATGATAAGCAAGCTGTCTTGTATCCAAGTATCAAACATAAACCCAACACTTAACCTTACATATGCAGTTTGAAAAGAGTCTCCAGTTTCCTGGTCTTCTTTTTCGGGATCATAAGTTAGGCTACCGACGAGCAAAACCTGAAAGTTTAACCGCAGATCCAATGTTAAACAGGATGAAATAAATAAAGGAAAAGAAAGAAAATTATATCTTAAGCGTTGACCATCTTTTCACTACAAAGAGAGTCACCTTCTATGGCTACAAAACTAATGTATGATCAAAAGGAAACAGGCATATTTTCTACATGAAGAAAGGAAAACAAAATTCCCAGCGGTCGATGCATACAATTACAGCAGTCAGGAAAAAAATGCCAATGTCAAATTGGGTTTAGTAACTCAATAACTTACCAGGGAATAGAGGCATGCTATTACAGCATACACAACAAAGATGAAAAAGACCTTATAGTTTGCATGGCCAACGCAGTTATTAATCCATATGCAATGATGATCCTTTACAACCAAGAGGCAGCACGTTAACACATTATCCAGGAAATACAAGGCGTCAAAGAATAAGATGGATAAAGCATACCATGCGCAAAACACATCTTTTGCATACACGACAATGATGTGCACGAGCTGGCTTATAGTGAGAACACTTTTGGCAATATCTTAAATCCCCTCCCTGCAAAATCATTCACCCAACAATTATCTAAAACTCAAAGACTCCCACTTTCTATAATATATCCTGCAGCCTGCTCCAAGTAAAGAGCCATTGCATCTACGTTTATTTCTCTTTTTTAAATAACAATATTAAAAATAACTTTGGATAGCCGATTCAGATGAAACCTTTATCAAACAAAATAGAAAGAAGGCAATATACTAACATTCCCAGTTTCTTTCCACATGATACAGAACCTAACTTATAAATCTAAAGGAGTGAAATGCAAGAACAGTAAGCTCTTATCAAAACATTTAATAATATTGTTTTAGAAACACTTCAAAAGCTCAATGTCAGGGGGAATAAAACTCAACCATCCACTTATTGTGTTCTAATTGATTCTTAATTGTGGTGCCCTTCTTTCATTGCAAGGCAAGAAGTGTGTTTCTAAAATATTAGGTTTTGTTAGGATTTTGGCTTGTCAAAGTTAATGACCTATTGCCAGATACATCAAAGAGCAAGACCCAGAGGGAATCAGAATTATAACAAGTTTGATGTCTTTTTCTCTCAAGTATAATCTTATCAAGAGTTTGTATGTGAAAAGCCTTTTACAAAAGAAAGATATTAACCCAGGGCCTACCTCCTCCTCAACCCACCCCATCCTATGTCATCTTAGCTAATGCCTAAGAATTACTGATCGTAAGAATACAATCAGGCACAAGTACATGTGGCAACATAACAATGCTCTAGCTTTAAAACAGCATAATATCCAGAATAAAATAACAATTAAGTTTGGACGTTTCGTTCACCCAATAGGGAGATCACACCAAACATCTTGACGTCCAGTAATGCTATTTCTACCTATGAGAATTGGCATTTTATGCGACAAACTGCAGGTTAAAATTAAAAAATGAACCTTGGTGGATAAATCGGTTAGAGTTTCCAGATATAGATTTTCCATTTGATGCATGCACATCTATACAAAGATCACACCCCATGAGTATCAGTGCTCGAGCATACTGGGAAACATGTAAGTAAAGGAAAGTTGGCATTTTCTGCAAAAACTGACTGATTAGGTGATGCCGCTAAGTTTGAATAACAAAATCTGGGAGGTCTGGATTTAGAGAGGCGGTTAGTTTTCCAAATATAGATTTGCCATTGCTTTCGGTGCGGTACACAAAGATCATAGCCTGCAAGTATCAGCATTGGGGCATACCGACAAACACGAGTTGGCCCCACTCAATCATGTGAGAACATTGTTTAGTTGTGAGGGCTACTGAACATTATGATACAAGAGGAATGGTAAATGAAAAAGGGCGTGAGGGCTACTGAACATTATGATACAAGAGGAATGGTAGATGAAAAAGGGCAAGCAAACCCTATTGGATTGGTTCTGGTTCCGGCTTACTTAACATTGTAGATTGATATAGGAGACCTAAGATCACGACATGCAATCGTAATCTTGTTTCTGAACTTTCCTTTTTGAAAATAAAAACTGAGGTTAGACAATGCCATTCAAAGATAGTAGAAACAACAAGTATTGGAAGTTGGAACCACATGTCCATCTCAGCTTAGCAATTATTAAAAGCACAGCTTTCACTAATATATGGAAATGCATTATAATTAATGACACTTCTATATAATTGCAATGACAATAGAAACCATGACATCGATTTACTGCAAAACACAAAGGGTGACTCAAAGCATGGAGCGTACACGCCAAGTTATCTACTTGCTCATTATCTACAAGTTCCTTGGCGTATTGGGCAGCTTCATTACAAGTTTAAAAGATCAAACATTTTTACTGTTTCAGGAACAACGGTTCATTCACTGTATATCAAAATTATATCTTTCCTTTTAAATCCATCCTAATTGTTATGATTCTTTTGCAAAAACAAAACTATGTAAGCAATTGTTACAAAGTTTTACTAAATCAGGATCAAAGTGACTCCATGACGTTACACGAATAGTAATACTACGAAGATGTTATTTTTCTAATTCCCCGACAACTCGAAATCAGCTCAGCTAAATTAAGCACCAATGCACCTACTATAAGCTCTTATATCATGATCTCCTCCATAGTTTCTACAATGTCTAACAAGTTAATCCAAACTAAAGCACCCTGCTTTCGATTTTCCGGCCAAAGAAATAAAGCCCTCTAATTTCCCAAAACATATTATTAACATAATCAAAATCAATTTACAATTTCACAATATATGCAAGAAAATTGGCTTCACCAATCGGTGGCTAATCTAACATCTAATCTAACAAAGTTTGACAAAAAAATAAATCATAAAATTCCAATTTTACAGAAATTATTGAAATGAGCAAGAGAAATCGATTCTACATAAGACGACACAGCTTTGAGATAGAAAACAGCACGAATTCGATACCTTGCGCTTGATCTCGTGCGTAGGGTTACCCGAATCTTCGACGTCGGGCATGTACGTGGAGGGAACCCGACCCGGATCCCTGAAGACGGAAGCCGAGTAATTGAAGACGCACATGACGGCCACGCCGGTGAAAACGACGGCGTTCATCAAACCCGGCGACGACATGAGACCGAACCAACGGTCTATGAAAATGAAGACCGTGGAGAAGTAAATGTATGCGATTGCCAAAACGACGACGGTTACGGGCAGGGAGAAGCCGAGGCTTCGCGTCATTGTGTCTGGAATATTCTCCGGCGGTGGCGGAGGGCCTGGAGGAGGCACCGGCGTCAAAACGACGGCGTCTCCCGCGGGTTGGGTGTCGTTTTCAGCTGGCAGAATGCGAGGATTTGGAGGTTGGTGAGTCGGTGACCGAGTTTGCAAAATCAAAGATGGTGCCGCCGGTCGTTTCTGATTTAAGGTATTACCCTTCATATTTTATATTTCTTACATATAAGTCCTCGATTAATATATCATTGGATCATTGATCAATTGTTTTTCTTTTTTAGGTAAATAAATGCTTTGTTAAACAAGCAAACAAACACAAAAGGGCCCACACTAACAAACAAGGAAACCATTACCAGACCACAAATTGGGTAATTAAGCAACAAATAGACTATTACCCAACCAACAATCTAAGGTTTTACAAAACTCCACTAAACCATACCAAACAGTAAGTGAGGTGCTAATAAGAAAAATCTGCTTTTGTTTGTAAAATAATAAAAACAAGTGACAGTATGACTGTTAAACTAAATAAATTTTTCAATAGTAACCTTGTCTTGCGTGGTGCTAATGTTTGTGCAAAAATATTGATACTCAATACACAAATGACGTTTTATCGCAGTAGCAGAAAGTAATCATGCATATGCGTTCTTGTGTGGATTCGATCCGCATTCATTTTCGTTCTTCCTAACAACTAACAATTCATTAATGCTATAGTTTGTTAAAAAAATCAAAACATTGCTTTGATCGAGTTTTACAATCGATCGCTCACACGCGGGGAGTGATTTCTGACCGTATATATTTGGAAGTCCCATATGAAGTTCCGATTGGTTTTAATTAAAAAATATTTGTAGGAGATGCATGAACGAAGTGTAAACTTGAGCTGGAAAGCATTCCAAAGTTCATGATTGAGACAAATACTGCTTAAAAAGAAAAGGAGATATTCTATTACATTTCGATATTACAATAATTGAATGGCCTTACAAGTCAAAAACCTAACCCAAATCCTTCCCAGGAAAGGAAACTACTACTAAACCATTAACGCTTTTCCACTAATCCCCTTTTTCTGGGGAGCAAATGGACAAAAAGAATGAAATGGAAACACAAGAAATCTATGAGCAAAGCGTGAAACTAACACTTGGGAAGATCGGACGGTGGAGGAGGAAGCTTTTGGTTGCGTCTCTTTCCATCCAAGACCACCCAAGCCATCTTCAAGCCCCAGCTGGTGTGCACTTCTAGGTGGCAATGCATGAACCAAACACCTATTTTGCATATCATCACGTACAAGAGAAGAAACAAATCAGATTGCTTAACCCTAATTCCATGCCAAATTTCTCACCAAGACTAAAGACATTTGATAACAAATGTTAAACCTTTATGAATCAAGTGACCAACTTGATTAACCTTGTCAACAAATAAAGAAGAAAAAAATCCGAAGAAAAGTGTGGGCTATGATGATATTGTGTCAATTTTATATTAATGAGGATTTACTGTGTTTGCTCGATATTTATAATCTAATAACGTAGCGTGTTGGTGAATCGATAGAAAAAGATTACGATATAAGCATTTACCTGGATTATCGGCGAGGAATCGAATGGCAACCCAGCCACCAGAAGGCACACCAACGGTGTTCCTCTCAGCAGGGTCAACAAGGTTGTACTTTTTAGGGTCATTTTTGGGATCAAAGTTCCCAGAACCCAAACCCAGCACAAAGAAATTAAACCCATGGAGGTGAAGTGGGTGGCTCTCCGCCCCAATAATGCTAGTGTCCTGCAAAACAACCTCCACAGTAGTGTTGAAAGGCAGCACCACCACCTTAGTTCCACTGCTCACGGCAATGTTGCTGGGTGGACTGCCTGTGTAGTTGAACTTGAATGCTGGGTTTGCAGGGAAATCTGTGGTGTACACACCTTTTGATTGGTTGAAGAAATGAGCTTGCAGAAGAGCTGTATTGGGTTGGACAAATGTCACGTTGTTAATGGCCGCTGCTAACCTAGTATTATTTGGTCCTTGGCATGCCTGATTTTTTGAGCATGGGAGAACTCCAAGCCCTACAGTGAAGAAGAAGTGCTTTTGAACAGTTTTCGGAACATTTGCTGCCGGGAATTTGGGATTGGCTAGGCTGAGAATTTTCTTGTTGTATTTCATGGAAAACAATGTGTCATTGAGCTTTGGAAGGACTGGTGTGAAAAGCTGCTTTTTCTTGTTCTTGTTGTTGGTTGAGGAAGAAGCAACTTCGTATTCTAGTAATCCTGTGGTTGTGGAGTTGTCAAAAGCAGCTGGGCCGGACACATAAGGCCGAGCTGCCATGACAAATTTGGCATTTGGGGACTTAGATTTGGTCCTCAGAAGCACATTTGTGGTCTGTCCTGGTGTGATTAAAACTGTTTGGGTTTTGAAAGGCTTCACATAAACTGCATCTGCTTCGACCACAGTGAGGGTGTGATTGGAAATGCTGAAGAAGAGCTCGTCGTTGAGCGCAGCATTGATCAACCGCAGCAGATATGTCCTCCGCGGCTTCACCTTGAGCTTGTATGTATCTAGTTCAAATATATTAAACATTGTTTATTTACAATACATAAAACTAATGCTCTAACTTTGAACTAGGAAATGTTGATTACTTATTAGCCAATACCTTTTGCTGAGCAGTTGTATAAAGGACCTGGAAGACCATTGATGGTATAGGCATCAGAAACATTTGGTCCCAACCCTGTTTGTAAGGCTTGACTGATGACTGTTTCTGTGTCTGCTTTCCACCATTCTCCTGCAATTCAATATAAATTTCAGAAATTCTTTGTGCATGGCATTAAAGAAGAATGGGCACACATCGATATTGTTGAAAATTTATCGATAACATGTCTAACATGTTTTGCTGCCAACAGTAATATCGACACGTTATCGATAACATCAATAATAAATAACATAAATATATACAAAACTAACGTATGTTCCATAGCCCGAGAATTTGGAGAAAATATTATAATCATGATGAATTACCGAAAATGATGGGAACTTCTTTGAAAGGTTGGGGGAAAGGATAAGGCACGTGTCTTTTAGGGAGGATGACAATAGGTCCATATACAGTTGCCCTAAGCCAGGAGATGTGGGCATGCCAAAACAATGTGCCTCTTTGACCAGTAATGGTGAAGTTATAGACATAACTCTGCCCTGTCTGAATTGGGCACTGTGTGATATAAGCTGGTCCATCTGCCCATCCACTCCTCATTTGCCTGACTCCATGCCTACGAATTTCTCCAAATTTCAAGCATTAAAGTTTGAAGTTTAAAAAACATTATCCAAACAACCAAAGCTAAGTAGAAGAATTGTACCAATGGAGGGTGAGATTGTGCTGAACATGGTTGACCACCTTGATCACAAGCCTGTCACCTTCCCTTGCGATGATACGAGGCCCCGGAAACTGCCCGTTGACAGTTACAATGCTCTTGGTTTGACAAAGCCTTGTCACATTTTGTAACTTGATCTGTGCAATGCAATAAACATGGACAATATTTTTTAAAGAGTAATATACAAAAGATAGAACGCACTTTTCAACAAAAAATTAAATTAGAGGGGCACTAAACATGTCATAAGCCGTATATAATTCACCGTATAGTAATCATTTATTATCTATTTAACGTTCCTCTAGTTCTTTTCTAATTAAAACTTTGACACCGGTTCAATTTATACATGTAATATTATAAATGAAGTGCGCGTAATTACATACATTGAACTTGTAATGCCTAGTAAATCTAGCATGTTTTGCAAATGCAGGCTCAGGAAACATGCACAAAAATGCACAAACTGCAAAGAAGATGGCCATTGAGAAGGCTATTGATGAAGGAAGATTAAAACCCATCTCTCTGATCTCACTGATCACTCAATCTGCTGAATTGTTTTCAAATGCTGATGCAAGAAAGATTAAAATAATCAAGCATTTTATAGGGTTTTTTAATTAATGAAAGTCAGTGAGATTTGGTTGCAGTTGCCTTCAGCAACAAATTTCATGTTCAAAATCAGACAAGACTAGAGTAGATAGAGCTGTTGGTTAAGTTTTACTTTAGAGTGCTGCTAAAGCCAGATAATTATGGTTATAATAATTGATTAATATCTCCCTAACAGTATCACATGGTGTTCCTGTAAAGCCCCTTTCACTTTACAATCTTAATTTAAAAGATACATGCTACTTACGTGGGTATTTATGTCAAATTAAGATGAAAGCAAATAGCAATGACTGTCGTTTTTGGTAGAAGATAAAATAACTGATTGATCTGAGAAAATATGGGGCTTCAATGGCATGGTTTCTTGGTAGACTTCAACCTCCTACCGTTGATGCTTACTAGTAAAGAAAAAGGGAAGGTGTTAACGCCATCTTGTTGGGCTGTCGTTTGTTATATATTTATCCTTACAATCCTAACAGCCTTGATGTTAATGTTTTTGTATTATAATATTAATCCTTTCAAAGTCTCCTTTCAGAAAATTCACATCCGGTTTTGCCACCAAGCCAACAATTGAAATTAATCATCCACAGGAAACTAAATATCAATTGATTAAGAGCAGTTTCCCTTGACGTGGATTCATCCCTCCTCAAATGTCGCTTGTATATATATATATATATATATATATATATATAAAACATAAATGAAAGCAGAACGCTCTTTTCACAATAATTGGTTATGTGACCAACATGTGATAGGATAATGTGATTTGTGTGCACTCAGTGTTTGCAACAAAACTTTAAATGGGTAATTTTGTTTTGGGGAAACAATAATTATATACCATATCCAGGCTCTCTCATATCCATGTTTGATCATTTTCGTTGTTTTTACTTGATGTATTCAATCCGATGACCATAAATAATGAGGGGTCAATGAGAAACTAAAATAGTTTAACAGAATCACCTTCTTTTTTCTAGCTAGTAGGATTGCAACTCGGGTGGGGTGTATGGTAAATTCAATCCTAACAGTCATTTACAATTCAGAACTGGATATGGACTTTGGTTTCATTGAGCCGAAAAAAAATATGAATCCAACCTAACTCAGGGTGAATTTAGGTTAATACCAGTAGGGTCCGGGTTTACTAGAACATCAGCAATGAAAGACAAATAACATTAGGTTGATGAGATACAATGTAGTGAAGCAAGATTAGTTCTTAGATTTCGTAGCCCATGTTTGAAAATTAGAGTGAGGTTGCTGACATACCACTCCGTGAGTTTTGCTCTCATTTGCATGAAAGAACAAAAAAGAATGGTTC